TTCTTCTTTTAACGAGGTGCAACGAGTTTTTGACTCGACTCCTTGTTTGACGAGCTTTGTACAACTGCAGGATTCGGGTAGCACTAAAATGGCTGGTGTTTGTTAACTGGGACGACATCTCTCTGATTCGACATGGGACGACAGCTCTGTGAATGACTTGCCCCCAATCAGCAGCGCTCACCAAACCCCTTCAAGCTCCATGACCCTGACAGGAAGCAATGTAGCCATGTTGGGGTACGGACCGCTCTGTTCTGTTTCTTTGTGGAGAAGCGGGTGGGGGCAGGGGGGGGTAGTCATGGAGACTCCAAGGAAACCGAAAACCAAATGAATGGAGTACTGGAAAGTGCCGAGGGTACCCTAGCAGATCCTCGTGGGAGCTGGAAAATCCAACTTGGCAAGGCAGTCCAAGTCCAAGAATTGGGTACATCACTGTTTAAGGTGGCCTGTTTTGGGTGAAAACTCGAGAGCCAAAGGCACAGATCCCCGCCCACCGGATGCGAAATGCTTGGTTCGGTTCGGGACCTGAGGCTCCGTCCACTTCGGCTTTCGGCGTATACGTCGGTCTGCGGGGCGATTGGAGGCCTGTACGCCTCCTTGAGATCCCTTAAGACCTCCCGCAAATGGAAGGTTGGGGATGGTCCCCAATCTGAAATGAAAACAGCAAGAAGGCAGAGTTCAGCATCTGATGCGATTTGCTACATATCTTCTGTGGCAAGGGAGTTCATAGCAAAAGTTCCAGGGTCCCTCGAGAGTAACGATTGTTCCAAGAAGTGTCCGAACAAAGGGCGAAATACTGTAGAGGGAACTTGGCGGACTTTTTTTGAGCGTAGGAAAACACCTGATGTCCAACATGGCCAGGGGACACAGTGGCTCACTTCTTGAGTAGAGGGCCCAAAAAAGGTTCGAACTGCTTGTTTACCACTAAATGGTCTTCCCAAAAAGTACGATTAAAGTCCACAATCTCAGGAAGTGAGTGACTGGCAACTCAGCGAGCTGAGCGCCAAAAGAACCAGCCCAATGCCCTTGCGCCAAGCAAAGGGTAGGGAACCCAACTGCAAACTGGCGACTGGGCCCCCTGATGCTCGGTCCTGGCGAAGTCTCGAGTCTGGGTCTGGAGTCCAGTCACAGCTCAGCATGCTTGAAAGGGCTCTTGAGTCACCGCAAGATGGGATGCCATGCTTAGGGTGTGAAGCAAACTTGTGTGAGAGACAAATGAAGCATGCGCAAGACACAGGTGCACATCGCAGCAGCAGCAGCAGCAGCAGTTAAGGCACTAGCAGCGCTACGACCTTGGGAATCATAACGTAGTCACGCTGTGATAGAAGCAGGAATAATTGTAGTTGTCGTAGTTCTATCCATGGTGTTCCGATTGATAGTGCCAGTGTAAACAATAGGAGCGGCGCAAAGCAGAATAAAGGAAGAGGAAGAGGAAAAGGAAGAGAAGGGGAAGAAGAAGAGGAACAGGAGGAAGAAGGATAAGGAGAAGCAGAATAAGGAGGAGACAGAAGAAGAAGAAGAAGAAGAAAAAAGATGAACTAGTACGCAGCAGTAGCAGTCGCAATAGCTGTCAGAGTTGGATAAACAAGTTGAGTAAGTGGGCTCAATCCCAAGTTTATCTAAACGTCTCAAAACTGAACACCCCACAGTCATTGACCCGTTCAAGAACACCCCCACAAAACGCCTTAACACGCCCTATTAACTGGGTGCTAAATCAGATGCAACTTTCTTAGCTTCCTTTTGAGCAGACTAAGACATATGGGCTATTTTGCACCTTACCACACGCCCCGATCAATTCTTGGCTCCCCTGGTCTCCATCATCTCGCGCCTCACCGTTGGATATGCCTGGCAGCCGAACCCGGGGCCCCAGGAGGTTCCCCCACCCAACATCCATGATCATTCCCTGGGCCCATCAACTTATTTACTTCTGGTTCCAATGAAAGGGGGAGGGGTCTCAGCGTTTTGGTGCCCTTGGGAGAAGGGTCAAACTTGTGTCATGACGTTTTCTCCATGAATCAAACTGCCTTCACAAATTGTGAGAGCAACTTAAACTCCCGTGGTTTAGCCTTGCCGCCTTTACCAGCACACGGACTTCGCCCCGAGTCTCAATGACCCTTGAGACTGGTCCGCGGGATTTCCTTCTTCGCTGCCTTGCCTCTGAGAGCGCGCTTGGGGCTTTTTGTTGCTTCTGCTGCTCCGGTTGGGTGCTGGTCCCCGACCGGTACTTCAACCAGCCATAGCGATGCGGGAGCAAGTTAAACCTTTTGCCCAGCAGTAGCCACACAGCCCAACCCATGCAGTTTCCATAGTAGGTAACCCGGCCTGTGCAAAACGTAGGGTCAAACATTGCGGTCACCTGGTATAGTGGCAACTGGAAGCATCGGCACTTCCCAGCCATACTCTTCGACACTCCGAGCCTACACTATATCTTGACCTGGTGATCGACCCCGGCTTACGCTGCATTCTTGAAGGGGAAGTTGTCCTTTCAAGTAGTCTTGCCGCTGTGCCCAACTCTGACGAGGGCGCAAAGGCTAGTGTCACGCACCTACAGGGGACCAGCCCGCTCCAAAGCAACACAGTGCCAGTATGGTTGCTAGCCTCACGTCAACTGACCAGGGGTTAGTCACCCTGCTCCAAAGTGATAAGTGGGTAATTATGGGTCAAAACTAACCCACCAAAAAACCGCAGGATTTAGTCTTTGTTTCCATTTACCAGGGTTCCATTTTGGGTACCTATTTTTAACCCATACCCAAGTGATGCAAGGGTTTCCACCAAAAAGTTGGACGGCAACCCACTTTCCGTCGCCTGGCAGGAAGCCACTGTCTGAATTCGGGGAGAGGGAGCGCCTGGCAGCATTGCTCCCAAGATCACGGGGAAGGGAAAATGAGAACCAAAGGCTATGTGGCAGTGGGTCAAAACCAATGGGATCATATTTTGGTTGGTAGGTGAATTCACCACCCATTTTTGTCAAAAGTGGGGATTGGGATGTTCACTAGGGGTAGATTTGGATTTTGACCCATGGCCATGTCTTCTTTTAGAGAACCCCCCCCAGTCGCCCAGTTTCGGTGTAACTTTCCTTGTGCTTTTTATCCCTTGAACGCCACAAACAACCAAGTAAAATAAGCCCTGGGTATCCCCAACAGCCCGGGAACCCCTTGCACCCCGGAACCCTCCTTCACCACCTTGTGGGCAGAGACCCCATAGCTTCCAGCTGTTGGGGAATTACCCTCAAAAACGAGTCACCCCCAAAGACAACCAAAGGAAACGAAACCCAACTTTACAGGGGCCTTCACCATTGAGAGGCGAACCCAGAGTTTGCAGGGGCTACATTCGCCAACAGTCCCCCACCAAAAAACCGGTGGGCAAGTACACGTCACATGGCCAGCCGATGGGTGTCATACCTGCGCATCGCCATAGACCCGGCCTTCTCTACACTTCCCAACCGAAGGAATGAGGTGGGTGCCTCTTGAAGGTGAATTTCCTCTTGGTTTGCACCGAAGTCAGGTCCCGATTAAATTTTGCAGACCCAAGCAAACAGCAAGCTATTCCTGGGCCTGAAAGGAAGCCCTAACTCGGGACATTTGCTGAAAAGTGTTTCTCCCCCCAATGACATCAAGCCCTCAAAGACACTACAGAGAGGAAATAAACGCATGATTACAAGGGGTCTGAGTCGGGGGGTAGGGATTGAATTTTCTCAGGTCCTCAAAGGACAAGTTTACGCCTGACGATGTCACCAACTGGAGGCCAACATAGGGTGGCCTTGGTAAAGGCTAATCACTACTTAAAAGCTGATCCATGCGGCAAATAGCTCATTTCAGGCATGCACAAAAATCACCGCCCGCCCCCTTTTGACGTCATGTTGGGACAAATTTACACATATTAAACACACACACACACACACACCGGATCTTCAGCATGCAGCAAAAGCCATATACCCTCACCAAACCGTGCATCACGTTTTGCCTGCTCGTGGTTGAACATGTCAACCAAGAAGTCGAATGCGTCGGCTAGGTCACTTTGAAGGACCCAGAAACCCAAACAACCTGGCTGGCAGAAAAAAAGGAAGAAAACAAAAAAGGTTTGACCACCACATAAACCAAAAAAGAACGACTCATGCGCCGAAAAGGGGATTGAGCTGGACCGAGAGGGTTGATCATGAGCAAAAATAAAGCACCAAAAGGTTGACTTTTGGGCAAGACGGTCCCTGGCCGAGTTTCACAAACGGAGAATTCGGTGGGCAGAGGGAACCTTTCTTTGGCACTGACAGAAGAAAACGCAGTTTGATACTTTATGAGGGAAAGGGTCATCCAGGGGACAAGCACCCCTGGCAGGGGCCGGTTTACCCAACAAAATAATGTCGTTCACCGGCTACGCAAACAAATGTATGTGTGTACACATCTATATATATATATATATATATATTACAAATACCCACACGTGCAAAATTGCCCTTGCGAACAGGGTAATCAACCAGTAACCATAGCTGAAACTATGGCAACCTAGCCAACAAAGAGGCCCGATCTGGTGGAATCATGTACAGACCTGCGTACCACGCAACACAATGACACAATGAAGAGGGTGCAGTCCTTACCTTGTGAAGGCGCATGCAGTTTCCGGGGAGTCTCTCCCTTTTGAACCATGCTTGACCTTTGCTTCCTAAGCACCCTCAATGGCAGCCCTTTTTGCCACTGGCGCTGACCAGTTGAGTCATAATCAAAGCCTGGCATTCAATGAGCCTAACTACCCAAAACCACAAAGACTCAAAGGGCGGTCGCGCCCAGTTGGGACTGTCCCCCTTCAACTGCCCAGGCTTTGATGGGCGAGCCGTTGCCACTTCACTCAGTGAAGCAACTCTCTGAGTTTGCGCGTGTGACATGGAGACAATTGAGTTGGAGTGTCAGAAGCTGAGCAGCCAAGAACTCTTCGGACATGGCAACAAATGGAAACCTGGAGGTGTGGATCCTTGAGCCTAAGCTTAAGCTTGTCACGAAGCCTTCAGTGAAGGCCACGACCCCAGTGTTCTCTGACAATCCGTGATCTGACTCGCGCATCAACGTGCTTGCTTTCGGCGAAGCAAACCCATCGGCTCAAACACTCGGCAGCCAACCAGTCAGTAAGGACTGCCATACCTCCTGGACAGGGCAGTCGCAGACCCAAACCTGGCCTCTCCGCACTGTGGGATGGTTTGAGGTAGGGGTCTAAGAGGGCGTCGCTTTCTTTTTGATACCATTTCAGTAGAGACGTAGGCGTTTGAGGTCTCAATTTGGAGGGGTCGGCGAGAGTGAGGGGCATGGGGGTCCCATCACAATCGAAATGGTCCCCATTTCTTGTGCTTGCAAAAATCGGGGGCGCCCCCCCAAGATACAAAGTTTATGTTGTTTGCTTTTTAGGTTCCTTCTACAAGCCCCAAAACAAAAATCCCCAAACTTGTTGTTGGAAGAAACACCAAGGAATCAGCTCCACTTGAAACTCCAGAGAGACCAAGTGCTGCTGAGCCGTCCCAGTTGCCGAGTGAGAACCTTTTCGGGGGGGATGACTTTTCAAAGTGCGAATCCAACGACAAGGGAGTTTCAGGGGACGAGATCCGCCCAGCAGGGCATCAAATATGCTTGAACTTCTGAGTGTTCCGCCCCGTGCACTCCGCTTGTTGGCAGTTTGGCCTACGTTGCGGGGGGTGAATCGTAGCCCAAGTTGCCCCAGTAATAGGCATTGCGGCATAACCATGATTCGCTGAGACCCATGATTGAGAACTTTCTGGACGATGTGTCCTGTATTTTTCGGGAAAACACCCCAGTTATCCACCAAGTTGATTGAGGGGTCCCAAACGCCATGGATTAATGCAAACCTGTCCCCCCCCCCCCCGAGTCCCGTCACAAAGACTGTTTGTCTTTCACTTTTCGCTCCCCTAAAACCTTGGTTTTCAACTTGGTTTCCCTTTTTGACCAACTCCTTTCACAGAAGACAACCCCCGAACGTGGTCCCTTCGCCCACCCCCCGTCGGTGGCGGTCGCGTCTCTCCTGCGCTTCCCTTGCGGGCGTCAGCTCGCGGAGCGCCTGCAACAGATCCGCAGGCAGCGGGGCGCTGCAACGGCGCACCGTGCCGGAAAGGTCCTGAACATACTGTGGATGGACGAAATCCTGCACCACTTTGAAGCCATGGGAAACCATTTGTTTGTTGGTATAGGCAGGGGAATCGTCATTCTAGGACTTCTTAGGTGGTGCAGGATTTCGTCCACCCACAGTAGGTAGCCTTAAAAAAAACATGGCGCTGGGAAGTGGAATAAACCCCATCTAAACCAGTGGAACCAATCTATTTTTAACCAAACTAACCTGAAAAGGACCCCTAAGGTCCTGAAACGGGCAGACGGGTTGAATGGGGGTTCTGAAAACTTGGGACTTGGCACGAGTGCAATGGCAATTGCGGGGTCTAGGCCCTTTTTGATTCATCCGGCGGATTTTTGTCCTCCTTGAAGTGGGGATACTTTTGGAGGGCCCCCCCGCCAAAAAAATCAACTGTCTGGATCTTCCAAAACATGAAAATTTAACGTCCAATCCGGAGAGTACCACTTGTTTAAGAGTCTCAGAGAAAAAAGACAACAACACGGAGTTGTCAAACCAAACTGTTCGTTTTTGAGATAAAACCTCCTGGAAGTTGATTGTCAATTATGAAAATTGGTTTGCACACCTGAAACCCCTGCAAATCGCGATGATTTGTGTTGCAAATACTTGACGGAAGGAGCCCTCCAATTCAGTACTATTTAGAATCAGAATCGTTCACATGAATCAGAACCAATTATTCAGAATCCAGAAGTTTCCAGAGTTCCAAATGATTCAGAATTTGTGCCTTTGGGTGACAACTTGGCAAAGCCGGAAACACCACACCCGAAACTCAGCGCGCAAAACACACACAACAAAAATCACACACACACACGCATTGCTTCTTTTGCAAAACAACAACAACAACAACAACAACAACAACAACAACAACAACAACAACAACAACAACAACAACAACAACAACAACAACAACAACAACAACAACAACAACAACAACAACAACAACAACAACAACAACAACAACAACAACAACAACAACAACAACAACAACAACAACAACAACAACAACAACAACAACAACAACAACAACAACAACAACAACAACAACAACAACAACAACAACAACAACAACAACAACAACAACAACAACAACAACAACAACAACAACAACAACAACCAACAACAACAACAACAACAACAACAACAACAACAACAACAACAACAACAACAACAACAACAACAACAACAACAACAACAACAACAACAACAACAACAACAAAAACAACAACAACAACAACAACAACAACAACAACAACAACAACAACAACAACAACAACAACAACAACAACAACAACAACAACAACAACAACAACAACAACAACAACAACAACAACAACAACAACAACAACAACAACAACAACAACAACAACAACAACAACAACAACAACAACAACAACAACAACAACAACAACAACAACAGAGTTTCTGGAGAGTGCATGTTCAGCATAAGCAGTGAGTGCACAGAGTTGCATAATTGATGGGATAGCGTAGAGTGTATAATTGGGAGTCTAAACAACGCAAACAGACAAAAGACTTGTTTCCAATGGTTTTCCCCAAGAATCACTCCTAATTGTGCCACTCCTTCTTGATTCACGCATTTCAAGCACCTGAAACTCCTAGCCTTCAGAGGGTCTCCTGGAAATAACCCGGAGAACGGAAAAACAGAGCAAAACCCCGGAGACGATGGTGGTTCATCAATGCTCCACCCCCCGGCCGGAGAATTGGATCCCCAAGTCAAGGACCTACACCGCGGCTCGTTGAGAGCCAATCCAAATCTCGCTGGACTCGTTGCAGTCTGCTCCAGGGCTTGGAATCAGGGAAAACACGTCGCCCGAAAGGGAAGAAGAAGAGAAGAAAACAAAACAACTGAAGGGATCCAACTCCAGGCCCCTGCTACACGACGCACTCCAAAAGTCCTCAAAGGTCACCTGGAAGCGGTGCAGGAAGTTCCTCGGGCACCAAACCGCGTCTGCCGCGCACACGGCGGGGTCTGCGTACTTCTCGTCCATCACAGTTGGATGGCCTCAGCTCGCAGGTGCTCAGCTTGGTTTGGTTCGGGACCCGAGTTGGCGGACATGAATTGGGCGCGTCTTCTTTTAGCCCCCCGCGCCCCCCCCGCCCCCCAGAAAAAGAAAAAAAAAGTGACTTGTTTTTGGCTGGAGTGGCCTCAACAGAAAACACGCCCTGCTTACCACGGAAAACCACAGCCATGTGGGCGCTTTAGCCCCGGCTCCTTAGCTCACCAAACGTGCATGGCTGGAAGAACCCACTCGCAGCAGGAGTTTGACGAACAGCAAGCCTTCTGGCTCGCTTGCCGGATGCATCCCAGCCCGGGGGATGAACAAACCCTAGAGAAAAGGGCTGGGGCAGAATTCGCTTATGCGAATCTATGTGCTTTTATCCTAGTCGTCTTTCCCAAGACCCACGCTTCCGGCCAAAGGAATTCCTTCAAATCAGGGAGTACAAAGTAATCGGGAATAAGGTGTGGTTTGGGCACCAGTCCCCGGAAATACGCATCACAGATCAAGTTCAAGTGGATGCTGGCCATGTGCGATCAATCTCATGTCTTCCCCTGCCCCAAATGAGCGGTGTCGAAAATAGGGTACATAAAACCCTCTGCTAAACAACCGCTCTCGCGGAACCTTTCACAATGCTTTCGCGGCCACCCGTTTCGCTTTCGCGGGCATGTGTTTTGGAATGATCACTTTCGCGGAACTTTCGCGGGCACCGCAGAAACTGCAACCATGCACTTTCGCGACGCTTTCCCGGCGGGCTCTTCTTCAACCACTTTCGCCGCAGGCATTCGCGCCCTGCGTTCTTGCTTTCGTGAGGCTTCGTTAGGAGGGGCCCTCAATTAACTCCTTTCATTATATAGGGTTTTTGGTGCTGCCCAAATGCATGCAAAACCAAGTCTATACCTACGCGAAGACAACTCTTAACTGGCTGATGCATGGAGCCTCCCGCTTGCCTGTTTGCTCGTTGTGTGTACAACGCGAACACCCCAAACCTCATTTAACACATCCACAAACCAGGCGGTTGAACCCTCCTGACCGCCGAAAGCCATCGCATCGGATGGCCGCTCAAGGAGGCTCGATCAAGCGCAAACCATTGCTCCAGAAAACGAGCCGCCGCACGCCGACCCTTCCAATAACCCAAACATCTTTCAGACTCAGTTGAGTCACTCTGGAAAGGAGAAAACATCAAACGGCACCCCTGTTTGGGTGAAAAAACCCACTGAACCGGAAGCCTCGTGCTTCGCCCGTAACCCACTGGCCCCAAGACCCGCACGGATCCCACTGCGAGATCCGGGCCTATGTGCCGCGCGTGAACTCGGATCTGGTGGGTGCGCCCGGTGCGGATGACCACCAGCAGCAGGGTGAAGTCCGCAGAGCCCCTGCACCTGTGAGGATGTCGTTTTCTGAAGCGAGTCCCAAAAGGACACCATTTGGCTGTGGGTAAAAAATAGGGTAACCCCAAAAATTATCACCCTGGTAAATGGAACCAAAGACTAAAACCTGCGGTCCCCTGGTGGCTTAATTTAGACCCACACCCATTTTATGACGTTGTGGGTCAACAGCCCGTATACAAATGGTGGGTTACATGACAAGGCGCCTTGCCCCTGCCATGGGAATACTAGCTAGGACTTTGTGGCGCCCTGGCTCCCCAGTTGCAAGGGATGCACGTCGCTGCATGGACTTGTGCCTCAGGACCTCCCTGCAATTGAACCATGTAGCCCTGTTTGGCTTTCGGCGGAGCTCACCGACTGATTCCGGGCTTAACTTCAAGGGACACAGCAAAACAAATAAACAGAACCAAACAAACACCACTCATTTGGAGGTGGAACTTGGCTTCCCAGAAGGGGACTCAAGGGCACCCTGGTGGTACAGTTGACTTCCAACATCCCAGTAGAAAACTTGACGTAGCTTGCGAAGGAACCCTTGTTCCCTTTTTCCGGGTCGTTGCTCTGGGAAACCACACAAACACACCAGCTTGGCACTTTCAGACAAAGCCATTGGATGCGAACCCGCTTCTCTACCCGGTCCTAACTTATAGCCTGTGGAAACCAGGAGGAAAATGGATGGGAGGGGAGCTTCGGAAAGGGGACAAGCACGGCACAAATGTCTAACTTCACCCCACAAGCCACAGGCGAATGATCTCACAGCCGAGACAAAGCCACTACTTGTATTTTCAACCACGGCAAATAAGCAGATTCCCACGTTTGGATTACCACATATTACCACCACCTTAAAGAGAGGGTACATCGAAGTAGGGCCTGTGCGGGAAAAAATGGGTATGACCCATTGTGGGTACCCCAACCCTTCCCACCCGACCTGAAAACTAAAACACTGGGGGTACCTATGGCATAGGATTTCGAACCACTGGATTCGTCTCTCAATGGGAAACTCAAAACGATGAACCTAGTTCTCACTTGCCCAAAAGACCCGGAAAGACATGGTAATAAAAGGCTACCCTCTTCCCAAGACTAAAATAGACCAAACAAAAGCACTAAAAGTTCAAAAGGTCGCTTCGCCTTGGGCAAGTGAGTTTGGTTCCCCTCCAAACTTCAAACACGGGTACCCTCTTAGGGCGGCCGGGTGTCTGTGCATCGAAATTGTGTATGGCCATGGCGCAGGACGCAGAGAGGCCGCAGCCAGGTCCACGCGGTCTTGCCCTCGGCGCTCACGTAGCTGGTGGCGGGGTAGGTCTTCGTGGTCTTAATCCTGGAGGCAGCTTCTAGGTCCTCCAGTAGAGAGGTTAGCATAAGGCTGCCCGAGTTTTTTTCTTTTTTCTGTAGTCTACTTTAGCAGAAGCACCCTCCCCAAAAAAAGTTGGTAAAAGGGCACTACTGGGGACCTAGGCTTCGTTTGATCAATGCTAACTTCAGATTGAATCGCAGGTTCAGAGGAAAACCCCAAACGATCATTGTTGGTTGGTTGGTTGGTTGGTTGGTTGGTTGGTTGGTTGGTTGGTTGGTTGGTTGGTTGGTTGGTTGGTTGCTTGGCTGGTTGGTTGGCTGGTTGGCTGGTTGGTTGGTAAATGGGGGAACCACCCCTGATTTTGGTACTCCGGATTCATCCGAAGTCAACACGCTTGAGGTTCGGATCTCTGGAAGGTTGGGAAACTGTGATTTTGGATGTTGATGTTCTTTCTGGTGAAACTTCAAGGGACACCGACACCTTCTTCGTCCTGTGAAGTGACCAAATGGCGGTTTTTGCCAACAACCCCCTCCCCCCAAAAAGAAGAAGAAGGAATTTTGAGTGAGAGCCCGAAATGCATCCGCATCCAAACAGCGGCTGAGGAGGTCTAGACCCTACTGGGGCCTGGTTGAGACAACGGTCCATCTTATGCCCAAGGGGCTCCAAAAGGAATACACCAAGAAGCCAGCAGTTGTCTTCGGAGTCGTTCCGTCTCGCACTTGCAACCCAACCTAGTGCAAGTTCAGTGATCACCTTGTGACACCGTGACTAAGCATGGTCCCACACCTGATTTGGGAGAAGCGTGGAGTGCCTTGAAGAGGAGGAAGCCAACATTGTTAGCAAGTCGGAATTCATGCTGTTGCACAAATATATAAGACGTCTAAAAACGGATCTACGTGCAAGGAAGTAAAACAAGTAGTTGTTCCATCAATCCGTGCAGAGAATATGTTTTTTGTTAATTGATTGTTGAAACTAAATGGAATCACAGATCACAATGCTGGAATTCCAAGAGTCACGAATTGGAGAAGTGGGTTCTCTCATAAGGTGTCTCTTCGCGAGGGTACCCTTGGCGCTCACGCTCCCAAGCGCGAGTTTCCGCCTCGCATTGACCACCTGCTGCTGCACCTGACCATGGCATAGCACCAAGTAGTGGCGGCCCAAGTCATAGGTGTCCTGCCTCGGTAACAAACACCGGGGACCTCCATTAGATTTGCAGAAGAGGTGAGCTTGCTGGTGCTCAGCAGGGAATGAGTTGGAACAACCGTTATGAACCATCCCTTGTGGTTTCCTTTAAGGGTCCCTATACAGGTTCATTCCCAACACCCTGAGTCAGTCCCTGCCTGTCGCACTAGCAAGTGAATTGGACCCCAAGAGCCGAGGAACAAATCGACTGATCAGGCCCAGAACCAAATGCGCGCAACAAGCGAGGCCGTTGAGCCCGCGAATGTCCAAGGATTGACCACCAGGAACCCATAACAGGAGACAACCCGAACCCGATCTGGTAGTATGTTGCAGGAGGATTTTGCCAGCCACCTGCCTTCATCACCGCCAAAGGACACCTTTGGGCTGGCTCAGATTTGCTCCTTGGTTTGCTATGGCTCCAAATTTTCGCCATCCAGGTCCTGCGGGCCTTTTGCCTCTGAAGGCCTCGCCCAGCGAACCTCAGGGATACGAAAGGACGGGCTGCTGCCATCGCAGGGCGAAGTAGCCACGGAAGGTCTTGCCTCAGCCGCGCGTGAGCAAACATCACGTAGTTTCCGCAAATGGGCATGGGACAATTGGGCGGTGTTTCCGTCTCCTCTGTGGTTTTGTGTTTTAATTTGAATACAAAGATAATTTTAACGCCTCCCCCAATCGACAGTCGACAACCAACACAAACACCGGGGCTTGTGTAAGCATTCCACCACTACAAGATGATCAGTTGGAACAGACAGTATTAAAAGGGTGCCCTGGGATTTGCTTGATTACAACCACCTTTTCCTTGGGAAAAAATCCAATCCGGTCTGTAGAATGCTGGCAAATGAAAAGCGTCTGTCTGTATTCGACAGGTAGAACATGCGGAGAACCAAACATCTGAATGCCCGACACAATTAATGCAAAAACAAATTGCATTTGCTGGTTCACGTTTGTCATCATTTGAGAACCTCCCCCCCTCCCCAACAAAAGAGCTGAACATACAAAGCAACGAATACTCCCGCCGATCGTCTTGAACTTAGCCAGCGGGGTTCTAAACCAGGTTGTTCTTTCTGTTTTTCCTCAAAGCTGGAGTTGCAACCCAACTGTTCCAAGGGCATCATGCCAGGTATCCCCCTCGTCAGACCGCTTTTGGGGTGCTACTGGTGCTCTGTGGGGCGAAACAAGTCCCATCTCATGTCCGGATTCTTGAGATTGGTCACAAGCCATCGAACTTGCCGTGGGAACGAAGGGGCAGCCTGTTTTGTTAATTCCAGGGGAACCTCGAAACCCGTCCAACACAAGCTGAAAGGGGACCTTCTGCAAAGACATTGGCCTACAAGCAATCTGTACGCCAGCCGCCTTCAGGATTTTTCAGGACCCCTTCTTGCTCCCAAAATGAGACTAAGGCTTCAGGTGCGTAGGTTGAAGGTATGTTGAGGGTAGGCTAAGGATAGTTTTGGGGTAGGCTTGGGGTGCATTTAGGGCGAGGTCAGGGTGGGTTGAAGGTGGGTTTCGGGTTGGCTTAGCGGTTTACGGTGGGTTTAGGGCAGGTCCAAGGCGGGTACGGGGGGGGGGGTTTAAGGGTGCTTGCTTTCTTGTTGCTTCTGCTTGCTCGCGTGCTTGCTTGACTGCTTGCTTGTGCTTGATTGCTTGCTTGCTTGCTTGCTTGCTTGCATGCATGCTTTGCTTGCTTGCATGCTTTGCTTGCTTTGCTTGCTTGCTTGCTTGCTTGCCTGCCTTCTTGCTTGCTTGCTGGGAAAAAAAACAAATCCAGCGGGAAAAACATCCTTAAACTATATGGCATATTTTACAAAGATAGGGAGGGATCCACTCTGCGAAGGAGCTTCTCAACCCCCCCCCTTCCCAAGCAAAAGGTAGTGATCGACAAATTTGGAGCATGAAAAGCCATGCAAAAGTCCCGAAAGTTTCTCGGCTCCAACCTTGGACCCGCTTCTGAAGCTCACTCGGCCAGTGCCCAGCCAAAACCAAGTGCACACTTTTTGGAAGGAAACAACGTGTCAAGTGCGCCCACTGGCTGGGTGAGTATTGGAAATTCCTGGAGATCTCCGGCAACAAAAAACACACACACACACACAACATCCCTCCCCCCGCACTTCCGGCGCGATTCGGTGCGAGGTGCCCACCAGGATGAGGCCTGAGCTGGGCACATCCAAGCGATGGATGAGGCCGAACTGGTGCTCCTCAGACGCGTCTCGCGCCGCGTTGTTAGTGGGGCGCTGCGACATTGTTTCTTTGTTCAGGAAAACAGGGTGACATGCGGGAAATAAGCGCAGGTGATATCCCCAACAGCATGCGGTGCTTTCTTTAGTGCTCGCACCACGCAGAACCTTGCGGAACCCTCGTGGGACGGATATCAGGGTTTCCACCCCACCGCCCCCCCCCCCCAATAAAACCAGGTAGGAACTGAACCACCTACAGGGGCGCGCATGTTTCCGTTCTCAAGGCATGGCCATGATTTTCAAACTCTCTCCGCTCCTCGCTGAAGAGCAAGGGATACTCAGCGCAGGAGTAAGCGCCTAGCGCAATGGAGGCGGAAGCATCCTATCTTAGATAAGCTTATACTAGCGGAAGCCAAGGAATTTTAAGAGTTGAAACCACTCAAAAGTGGTCGGACATGAATCCTTACCTAGATGATGTGCAAATGTCTCAAAAGACACTTTGCATATGGGCAATTTCAAGTTCTCCCGACCCTCCTACTAAAACACCAAAGGGATGCGGTGGATTTTCAACCCTCATGGTCAGTGAACCCTCGGATACCCAGCTACCCCTAGCAAGGGCCCCCCCCACGACGCCTTCCAAAGGAACCGAAGGCGGCTTTGATTGATCCGATCTTTCTAACCAGGGCCAAAGATCTCCGAACCAAATATGGAGCAAGTCCAAACAGGCGCACGAAAACATCAAATTCTGTGCTGATCAGAGTCTGTTGGGCTGCGATAGAAAGTAAGGAAAGCGGGACGCGAAGCGCCTGATGTAACACCCGAGGGACGGCAACCTATGTGACCATCTTAGCACAAGCGTAACATGTGCGACAAACAAAATAAACTGGATCTTCAAGCCGCACTAGGAACAAGTAATTATCCTTTCGAGGGTAACAACAAGAGATCGCATTTCATTGTAGGATCTCAACAGCAGAATAAGACTCGAATTTCATATTAGCTCTTGGCTTAGGCTTGCAATGGCCTGCCACCGAGGGTAACTCCCACCATCGGGATCTCCGCTTCGTTTCTGCCGCGCCTTGCAAAAAGCTGGACAAGCGCGCCGCACCGGGCGCTGCGCCCAGAAATGCTTCCTCTGGTGGTCTGGCATCCACCTCCCAATGCGCCGGCTTCCTTGGGAAGGTCGGCGAAGTCGGGGGGAAGTTGGCTTTGACCCTTTGACCCGGTGAAGAAACCCTGAAAACAAGTCAGGGGGTCAACTTTGGTTTTCCTCCAAGCCAGCTTTGCCCAAGGCTGTTTAAAATAGCTAAGCCCTGGTCGCATGGTTGTCAACCGAGACATGCATAGACCATTGACCTTAGAGTCTTGCACAAGAACGTGACAAACAGCGACTTGGACGCCATTAGTCATGAGGTCATGACCATGCAGCTAACCCCTTCCCAGCTATGGCCATGCTTGTGTCACCTGCTTCGGTGGTTTGAACCATGCAAAAAGCTCAACCCAGAAAAAGTCGAAGAGTTCCCCACTAAACCTGGCCAACCCCAAGAAGAATAGCTCCCTTCTGCATCCATTCGCTTACGGCCCCCGAAACCGGATTTCCAGTGATAGTTCCCCTCTAAGACCAGGAGAGATCTCTAAGAAAAAAACAACATATTCAAAGAGTACCCTTTCTTGCTTCATTAGTCTTGCTTAAAGGAACACACACAACCTTCTCAAGCAAATGGAAGTCTACCAGGGTCGCTGGTGGCAACTGGTCGAGTGGGGGCAGCCAAAGCTCAGCACCACAGCCATGTCCGCCACGTCCAACAGCACCCTCGGCTGCTCCAAGCCCGAGCCACTCCTCTGTCTGGTGCAGCCCAGCCTCGGCTCGGAGTTTTGTGGCGGATAAAGTGTCCCTCAACTCTGAGCTTTGTCGACTCAGCTGGCCTCAGATGCCCTGCTAATAGTGACTAACTTTTAGTGGGCGAAATGGAAAACCCAACACTCAAGATCTAACAGGCTAAGGGGATGGCTGGGAGCCACCAAGTCGAATGAAAGTGGAGCGGATTTTCAAGACTCTTCCGAAAGCCGTGTGCAAGTTCATTGTTGGGAAGCCACAAGCGATGGATCAATTTGGGCACTGACCATGTTGGGACTATTGAGCCAAGATTTTTAGTGAGTTCACTATACACCATGGGTTCATGCCAGTGTTCATGGGGTTCTTTCTGTTGGAAGTTGCCCCTTCAGTGGCATTTAGTGATTGATTTCCCCCCAGCACAACGGATGGCCACTCACAGAACGTAGCAACTTAAATCAACAATGTTCAACTCATGGCGCACTCTGGGCATTCTTCAAAGCCCTTTGGTTGAATATAAAGACCCCCGCTTCCCGAGGAGATCACACACAAAGGAAATCCTGAAACCTTGGTTGCCCACAGCCGAGACCCATGTTTTCCCAGCAATTGGGGCCCATAAGCTAAAAGGGGTTAAACAAACACAGGTTCGGGGTTGAGGAACAAAAACAACAATAACACAGGGTCCCCGTGTTCTCGCCATTTCCCCCCCAAAAAAAACAACAACAAAAAACAACCGGGGCTTTGCCGCGGGCGCAGGTTTCTAGTCCGAAGGAAAACCCATAGGTCAACGCGCCGATTGTTGGGGTATTCTCATCGCACCCACATCTCAATGAAATTCTCAACATGAGGTGTTTCCCTTTGCTACCCTCCAAAAAGTTGCCAAAAGAGGAGTGTCCTTCCAGGATTTGTAGAAAACCTGTTTCATTCTTGGAGCACTATTGGCCATGTCTCTCAGATAATTCTGCACATGAAGTCTGGTAGCTCTGAATGCGGCCTGTGACATAGGGGACGAACACACAACAGCCATTTTGAGAACTCCCTGCCCAAAAGCCGTTTTCAAAAAGAACCCGTTCCACAAGGGTCTCTTCGATGTGACCAACATGTATCCTTTATGCAACCAGCCCTGCGAAACCAATAAGTCCCTTCTGCCCAAAAGGTGAGGTCTAAGCCACACACGAGGGAGAATTCGCTTTTCCCCAAGTCGGACATAGGGAAACCTGGCCAAGGCCCTAATCATTGGTGGATCGATTCTCGCCTTACCCCATCACGCCCATTTGTCTCGAAATTTTGGGACCTCCGAAACGGCCACAGTGTCCTTCTGCTTTTGTTCAAGGAGCCAAAAGAGGGTTCCCCGCACCCTAAAAAAAACCAAAAAAAACGACCTTTGCTCGAAAACGAAAAGGGGATTCCCAAACAAATCGACGCATGGATGCCTGGGTTGCCCGTTTTCTGATCACCCTTGGGAAATGACCCAGAATGGCTCAAAATAACAAGATTTTATCCGGTAATGTGCCTAAATGGGGTCAATACCCAGTGGGTGTATTCCCAGGGTGTAATACACAAATCTTTAGAAATGACAACTACCACTAAACACTAAAAGGCGAAAAAGCTAAGGAACCAGATGGCTGGCTTCGCCACCAAGATGCGAGAGCCTCGACTTTTCTCCGGTGCCATCGGGTCGCGTCAGCCAAGCCCGACACGTGGCGTCCAGCGCGGCGCCGATGTCCGCGAGCCCAGCCCTCAACAGATCCTCCAAGCGCTGAACTCGCCGGCCTGACGCGTCTCACGAAGCGCCGCGGAAAAAAAAGGGCGTGGACCCTGAAAAAAGGGAAGGGGAGCAAAAATTGAGAATTTTAGCAGTTCAGTGGCCACACACCTCCCTATCCATCATGATCAGGTCTGACAAGGTTCTTGAAATCTAGGATTCTTTCATCTTCGTTCCTCAACATCTATTTCTATTCCTTTCCAAATATCTTCACCATGTCACACCTAAGAAGAATAGATGCTCAGGAACTAAGATTTATTGTAAACCTCCCATCTTTTCCCTTCCTCACCTTGGACTAACAGGTGACAAGGAAGGGAAATGGATGGACAAGATAGAAATACATTAAAAACCCCATAACAACCACCATGGTGGTGGTCTAGGGGGTTGATTTTTCATTCGTGGCAACCATCGTTCTATTCAAAAACCAGCCGTTTTCCTCTGGGTTTCCAGAGGTTTTCTAGACAGAAGGATTCCTGGAAAGAACTTTGGAAGGTACCTCTAGGAGTGGGTGTCCTTTTGTTTCCCTTTAAACCCCACCCCAAAAAAGGGTGGCATCGCAAAGACACACCGAACTGAGGTCGAATAGAAACCCACAGATTGATTGCGGATGCCGGTTCTTGAATTGTTGGGTATCTTTATGGGTCTTAACACACCTCTGGGGAACAACTGTCTGAAATAGGATCCGACCCTGCACGCTTCTCTCAAACGCCTTACGAAGCAGCCTCACCAACCTGATGGAACAACTGCTCTACAAACCCCACGACTCTTTTGGAGGAGGAGCAACCCATTTCAAACGGCAAACTTCACTTTGGCTTGTCAATCTAGTTGTAACCGGGGCCAACATAAGGGTCAAACCCAAAACATCGGACGCCAAGACCCTAGCGCGAACGTGTTCAACTGGCTAAAATTAAGTGGGGTCGAGTCCCCATACTGTTCGGCAGTAATTTAGAAACAAAAAACAGCTATCCGCAAAACACATAATATGACGCCGAGACCCCCAGTCCGGGGGGCTGAATATTCCCATCCACTGTGCGCTTTGTGGATGGCTCTTCTCCGTTGTTTTGTGTTTCTCCTTTTTTTTTGCTTTTATTTTGTTTATATTTTTTTTCTGAAGAGCACGGAAAGGGAGAATTCTAGCAACCTAGAATGCAATCCCAAGGGGCATAGTATACCTATTTCCCAAGATATAAAATTGATGATAGTTATCTTAGTTTCTATATGATCGTCTGTATGAACAGCAGTTGTTGTTTTTTGTTTTGTTTTTGTGTTTGGTTCAGACATGTCACTAAACAAGGTACACGACACAACCAACCCAAAACTAAGATCCACAATCTTCCGATCGTTAGTATTCTTCTGCTTTTTCCGAACTGCACTACGCCTCCTGGGTTCGCAAAACAATCTATGTCGAGGCAACCTACGTCCTGACCCCTGCAATGGAGAGTCCAACGATGGTTAGGGTATTGAAGACCTCACTAGGATATACACAATTTGCCGTTGACATGTTCTTCCAACCTGACACCTGCAAGAAAGCCCTAACACGAGGGTGTCGCTATCAAGTGGCTTTGGGGTACGTGGACTTGGGAGTCCAATGTTCAACCGCTTGGGGCTTGAAACGAAGAGGGAAACCTGACCCACGGATTGACACTTTTGCTAGCTCGGCTGGTTTGCCTGTAACCGCAAAACTGGGAGGACCTGAAATGCCGGGCTTCACTTGCGGTGCACCGATGGGATTGTGGTTATTCTCGTGGAAATCGAAGCCCTTTCTGTAGTTCAGTGGAATTCCCATCCCTATGATTATAGTTTCACTTTAAGGCGATCCGCAAGGAGATTCCCGAAAAGTATCACCGCAAGCAGCAAAGACCCAAGTGTCCAAGATGGCTGAAGCCGGTAATTATGTTTCACAACCCCCAGCAAAACTCTCGGCAAATGAGAGGTTAGAACAAGGGTACGTGTTTTTGTTTTCTTTGTTCATGTTATGTTTTCTCGGTAGTCTATTCTAGTAGGGGAACCCTCCCCCAAAAAAGGGTGAGAAAGGGCACAACTGGGGGACCTAGTCTAAAATTCCCAGATCTGAATTTAGACATTTCAGACATCCGGGTAAACCACACCAAAAATCGAGGCGGCTCCCTTGAGGTCGCTGTGAGAAACTGCCTACCCGTCTGTTGCGCACCTCTAACTCCAGATGTGCCCTGAGTCTGTTCGGTAACCCAAATACAATTCAAAAGTTTATTGTTTTTGTTGATTGATCCTTTTTGGATGTCTTGAAAGGGAAACCCAACAAGAACACCAACTCTTGCGTTTTTCTTTGCGGAGGGGGGGTCCACAAAAATGAGACACGCCCCAACGTTTGCGACTCCTCGCCCCTTTTGTCGGTCGCGCCTGAAAAGGCCGCCGCCCAGCCGATCTGCAGGATGGAGTTCAGAAACTCAAAGGCCTCCAGCGGCTCCTGGAGGACTTTTTCCTCCCATGGGAAAAGAAAACATGGTTGACGTGGGGGAAGGGGAGCAAAATTGGACAAAAAAGCAGTTAAGTGGTTGGATTTCAACCACTCAACCACAAGAAGCAACAATGTAACATGCTTCTCAACAAGAACCATGACCCTCCCACCGTTTTTACATTGAACCTGACGTGCGGGACCCGGTCCCTTTCAAAGCAAAATGGTCTAAACCAGGAGTCCCACCAATCAACATCTAGGTCCTCCAGTAGAGAGGGAAGAATAAGGGCACCATTTTTTTCAGGACGTCTATTTTAGTAGGGGGGGCCCTTCCCCAAAAAAAGCTAAAAAGGGCACTACTGGAGCCGGTCGCTTAAAAGCGTAATGGTCCAAACTAGGAGCCCCCGGAAGTCAGGTTCCATGTTAATTGGGGGGGGTGCGTCCATTGTTTGACTCCAATTAAAAACTAGCAGGGAGAATGATTCCCTTTCCCACTGCTTGAGTACAATGGCCAGAAAGCGTATCTTGTGTTTAGCACTCAAATAGTCTTTCCAACAAAGGCTCAAGTCCAGTGAGCTTTAAAACCAACAGGACAACAACAACAACAACAGATTCGTAAGCAAACGCAACATGCACTAGCGCCGAGAACAAAATCACATCGAACCCAAAGAGACACCTGGGCTGGTACGGAAAGCATAGTCAGAAAATCAGCGGTCAAGGAGATTATCCTGTAAGAATGGCTTTTTGGGTTCCTTGGGGCAATCGAGGACGCAGCACCTCACTGAGGGATTCAATTATGTGTTTTTGGGGGCTCCCGAAAGAGCCCAAACTAGCCAACACATGAAACCGACCACCTGAAATTGGATTGACTCTTTGATGGACATCGTTTGCGGGCATTATGTCACGTCGCGTTGCTTGGAAGCCCCTCACAAAAGGGTGGAGCAATTGCAATCTTGAAAAGCGCCACCAAAAGCAACCTAGACACATGTCCAATCAACATGTGTGTAAGATGAATCTTTTGAAGGCTCGGAGCAACCCAGTTTGCTGACTTGCCTGCCGAATCAACAGGCGTTGCGCAACATGGAACGCAGCTCAGCTGCAAAAGCAATGCGAAGCAAGCTGCAACATCACCTTTCACACACCATGTCTTTTCATATGTCCTCCTTAGAATCCCGGGCCCCATTTTTCTGATAGTTTTGTTGGTTCCCCTTTAAGGGACCCCCCCCCGCCCAAAAAAACGAAAACGGGCGCCGCTGGGTGTCTGGCAACGTCACCTTCCAAGGTGATAGTTTCCCCTAGCACAGAAGTGGCTATGGGTCAAAATCCCGTACCCCCCAGTGAACATCCCAATCCCCACTAAAATAGGTTCCAAAATGGGTGGGGAATTCACCTACCCACCACGGTTTTGACAACCACAGCCAAGTAACAACCAAGCTCTCATTCCCACCCTGCGGAATGAACCCCAGGCGATTCAGCCGTCAGTCCTGACGGCCTCTGAGAACCTGCATTTGCTCACTGGCTCAATCTGGGTAACTAGACCCCCCTAGCTTCAGGAGGGGGTTGGGGGGTCTTGAATTCCATCATCAAAGGGACAATGCAACCACAAATGGAAATCCAGGTTCACCCCCCTCCCCAATTCCATTTTTAAGGGGGTGGGGATGTAACTAGGCCAAATGGGCCGGTTCTTCTCCATGATACCGATTGGTGGTTGATTGACTCGCTTACAATATAAACGGGATTCCAATGGGATCAAAGAAAGCTTCACTAAAACAGAATGTTCCACAACCATGAACTGAGGCGCGTGTTGAATGGGGAAGCTTTTTTTTTGGGGACCCTTTGGAGCACGTCATTGGCATGGGCGAGTCACGCCCACTAAACATACTACACATTTGGGATAGGGCCTTGGAAAAAGGTAACATCCCCAAAAGTCACATCCCCAATCACAATTCCCAAACTCCAGATAGCACGCGTTCACCGGCCTTCGCTCCAACTAAAAGCTTTGGCATCTCTGCTGGCGCTTTGAAGCTCAACTATCGCAACTTATTCGTGAGTCCAGTGAATATATTTATACACATTGTATATGCATATATATATATATATGCTGTGTATCTAGAGGTATGTTCAAACCCTCCAGCAAGGCTTTAAGGGGAATCGTCCCAACCCAAGCGTAGCCTGCGTATCTACCCACTGCACACCAGGCTCCCAGGGTTGTTGCAATCAAAATTGATCACTTGGTGGACTGGGTCGCCAGGCGTGTGTCCGCACATTCGCAATCTCCGCAGGCAGCTTGTGCAGCAACGTCTGCAGAGCGCGACCAAAGAGGTCTTCGTCGATCCTAGAAGGTGGGTGTGATCAAAACACAAGCGAGTCACGGAAGCTCTTAAGGGAAACCCCTGATGATCTGTCTGGGTGAATTATAGTATTTCACCAGCCTGAAACTTGCGGTGGTTGGGGGGCCATTCCCCACATAAAGCACCAAATTTGGGGTGAATTCGGTCGTGTGAGGTCGATATAATTCACCCAGATCTTTTCTGAGCCACAATCAAAACCCGGTACTAAAATGGTGAACCCAGAACCATGCTTCAAAAATTAAGAAGGTGGCCGAAGCTATTTATGGCTGGGATTGGCCCTCACTAACCTTCATCTACCCGGGTTTTGAGCACGTGGCTCACCTGATGATCTTTTGAATGCACCTCTGGATCCTCCTTTCAGAGTGCCAGGCTAGGGGTAACCGAGAACTTCTTGTGGGCAGGCTGATGCATTCACCCGTGAGAAGTTTGGCTGATGGGGAACCTGCGCGCGCGGGGCTCCCTTGGATTTTCCTTTCGAATACCCCCTCTAAGACCGACTGTGGATGGTTGCAAAAAGCGCAAAAAGGGTGTTGCCCCACTTGCGTCCCTCAGCCGGGGGGGGGGAGAAAGAATTCTCGCGAAATGCGGCGCCTAGAGACATGCCGCGTCTTAGCATGCTGGCTCACAAGAGATGGCGGCAGCGTGAAACCTCCCCGTGGTGATGGCACCAATGCCAGCACTTGGGCGCTCCGGAAGGCGTTCTGCTCAGAATGAAAAGAAGGAAAGAAGACAATCTGCCCACTCTGTTCGCTTTTATCTGACTTCACTGATGTGAGCCAATGGCCGCGTGCACACGGGGGCACGCGCTTTACTTAGACTCTTTCTTTCGAGCAGGCCGGGCATTGGTGCTTGCTCGCTGTCTTTTTGATGCATGCCGCTCTTGCCTTCTTTGCATGCTCTCCGCTTTTGCGAGCATGCACGCCTCGGTTGCTAGGACCTACTTCCGCAGTTTCCGCAGTTTTAAGGTCTCTTTTGCTGTAGAAGAAGCTCGCTCATCCAGGTGGTGCCCTGCTTTGTTGCAGGCTAAGCACTTCTTGTGCGCGGCATTTACCCAACGTTGTCAAATCTATGAAGGCGCCCTCAAAACATGACTTTCCAACTTAGATGCGGGGAGGGTCCAAGACATGTTTTGGCAACATGCGTCCCAAACACACTCGTACTTGCCGCATGTGCGATGCGCATGTTCGATTTATGTCGCGGGATTGGCCAAAACACGTGCACACTTTATGTTTGTCTGTTGGCCTTCCCATCCTCGATCCCTCAGTGAAGATCCATCTTACATCGTGCGTGGTGCCTGGAAAAAAGAACCCTCGCGTTTGCTCATTTGCTCGTCCCCGAACACCAGCAAGGTGAGCTTTAAAATGGTCGTCCCGAGAGTCCAGAAACTCGGGAAGCGAGTTGAGTGGCTGGTTGACTGGGTCCTGCAGTAGAGAGGCTAGCATAAGTTGGTACCAACTGTTTTCCTGTAGTCTACTTTAGTAGGGTTGAACCCCCCCAACCAAAAAAGGGGTGAGAAAGGGCACCTGGCTGGAGGACCTAGTTGAAGCAAAGCCAACGGAAACTAAAGAAAACTCTTGGTGCAGTGAGGCGTCTGCAGCTCCAGCGCCGGAGAAGACCACAGCAAGTTCGCGAGGTCGCGCACTGCGAAGTCACCCACCTCAGGCTCGAGGCTACGGGCAGCGGTCACGGCGGCCACGTGGGATGAACCAAAACCCGGCAGTTGATTCGTGCGTGGAGTTTACTCCATGTAAATGTGGCTTCATGGGTGCAGGATTGATCACCAGCGGTATGAATCCACTGAGTACAAAATTTGTATGTAAACCTATTCTGGGCCATTTTCATCAGAGGGGGTTCGCAATCCTGATCCATACTAGGGGGAGCCACTGCAAATTAGCCCATCTGTTTCCTGACCCCAAGGAAGAATCTTGCACATGGACAGTCCAAATATTTATCGGAAACAACCACCCACTTCCCGCGACCCTCTTCGAATTGACTAAATTTGGCTGCTGAGATGCAAAGCCAAACGGTCAAAAGGTCGAAGCTGTGTTCGATTTCCCCCATGGCGCCACGATCTGCCAACAGAAAAGATGCCAAGCACAGTTCAGTGGTGGGAGATCCCCCCTACCTTAAGGGGGAGGGGGGGGGGGTCCCACAATGTCCCACAATTCCATTTATTCAGTCTTCCCCACAAAAAGGGACAATGGAACCCTGACTGGAAGGTAGGCTGACCGGAGGTTTGTCTAGGGGCGTCCAGTCAGGTGAGGGAAACTCCTTGTTTTAGAGGAATCCAACCATACGAAAAAAACAAAACAAAAAAAACACTCGCACTACCAAACTAGGTACACGGCGTGTAGACGGCCGTGGTGGTTTCAAGGGATTTTTCGGGCACGCATGCAGCGTTCTGCGTCGGCGTTACAGTGTGATTCGCAGCACGCACTGTGTTTCTCTTTTGCGCAACGCACGTTTTTGAAGTCCAAAATTTTGCGCCGACAACAGCTTTTCCAGCTCATATTGGAATCAGGGGAAAGAACAAAGGCAGAAGCAGTCAAAGCAGGGGCAAGGCAGCCACCAACCGTGCAAACGTACCGAGACCAAGCGGACGCAAGCGAAGGAAGATGTTCAGTCAAAGAAGTGAAGCAAATCGGACCACGATGAAATCAATGGAGGCAAGAATTACGAATTCAAGCACAGAATGGGTCCAATACCAGGGACAAGCAGATCAAACCCCAAGAGAACCTCAGACCGGTTTGGGGGGTGGAACGCAAGCCAAACGCAAAAGCAGAACAAACGCAAGAGACAAAGACACTTCAAAAGCATACGCATCCATGGCGCTCACATTGAGCCAAACAAATGGAATGTCCTGCCCAAAAAAGGTATTGACATCAGTGTCCTACCCCACCCCCCCCCCCCACACACCCAGCATGACATTTGACATTTGCATTGCACCGAAACAAGAAATGACCCGACTCGTCAGCCACCGCAAAAGAAGCCAGGGTGTTCCAAAAACTTGCGCCAAAAAAAAACAGCTCAACAGCCGAACCTTGACATCAATCCCCCCCCCTCCCTCCCCCCCCCACCCCACCCCATAAGCCACGCAAACAGCAGCTAAATTAGACAAAATGTTCCACACCAAACACAAAAAGAAGAGACACAAGACAAAAAACGTGCAAAAAATCAAGAAAATGCTTAAAACACCACGGCCGTCTACACGCCGTGCACCTACTACAAAGCAAACAAACAACATACTACCTGACTAGCAAACTAACACACTATCTAGAGACTACCTAACTACCAAAAAAACAGCACACACATACACCATCAATTAAACAAAGAAACAAACACAGAAACAAACACAAACAACCAAACAAACAAACAAACAACCAAACAAACAAAGAAACAACGAAACAAACAAACCAACTGACAAACTAACACCTTTCCACACAAGCACACAAACAAAAAACCTAACTAGCACGCCAACACGCTATCTAACGAACAAACCAGGAAACAACAACACAAACAAACACACAAACAAGCAAGCAAGCAAACAAACAAACAAACAAACAAACAAACAAGCAAACAGACAAGCTACCTAACTAGCACAAAACAAACAACTACATAACTCATAAACTGTTCACCAGCACACCAGCTAACAAACAAACAAATACAAAAGCGACCAAACAAACTGCCCACCAAACAAACAAACAATCAAGCAAGCAAGCACACAAACACACACACACCAACAAGCAACACCAACAAGCAAGCAAGCAAACAAAAGACAAACAAGCAAGCAAACAATCTAGCAAGCAATCAAACAAAAAAAACAAAGAGACAAGCAAGCACGCAAGCACGCAAGCACGCAAGCAAGCAAGCAAGCAAGAAACACACAAACAAACAAAAAAAACAAGCAGGCAAACTAGCTCGCAATCAAACAAACAAAACAAGCAAGCAAGCAAGCAAGCAAGCAAGCAAGCAAGCAAGCAAGCAAGCAAGCAAGCAAGCAAGCAAGCAAGCAAGCAAGCAAGCAAGCAAGCAAGCAAGCAAGCAAGCAAGCAAGCAAGCAAGCAAGCAAGAGAGCAATCAAACAAGAAACAAACAATCAAACAGCAAGCAAGCAAACAAACTAGCAAGCAATCAAACAAACAAAACACAGAAACAAGCAAGCAAGCAAGCAAGCAAGCAAGCAAGCAAAAGCAAAAGCAAAAGCAAAAGCAAAAGCAAAAGCAAAAGCAAAAGCAAAAGCAAAAGCAAGCAAAAGCAAGCACGCAAGCAAGCACGCAAGCAAGCACGCAAGCAAGCAAGCAAGCAAGCAAGCAAGCAAGCAAGCAAGCAAGCAAGCAAGCAAGCAAGCAAGCAAGCAAGCAAGCAAAAGCAAGCAAGCAAGCAAAAGCAAGCAAGCATAAGCAAGCATAAGCATAAGCAAGCAAGCAAGCAATCAAACAAGAAACAAACAAACAAACAAACAATAAAACAAGAAGGCAGGCAAGCAATCCACACAACCGAGATCCAGCCGTGCGTGACTAAGACACTGCGCAATTGACACACGAACAAACACCAAGCAAAGAAACGCATCAGCTCACAAACCATTTAACACACGACGCAACAAACACACAAACAAACAAACACAAACAAGCAACACCAACAAGCAAGAAAACAAACAACAAACAAACTAGCAAGCAATCAAACAGACAAAACAAACAAACTTGCAGCAAGCAATCAAACCAGAAACAAACAACAAATCAAACAAGCAGGCAAGAACGCTACGAAACTTACCTAGGTCCTCCAGTAGAGAGGTTAGAATAAGGGTACCCTTTCTTCTGTAGTCTACTTTATCAGGGGAACCCTCCCCCCCCAAAAAAAGGGAAAAGGACACCTAGCTGGGGAACCTAGCCAAACAAGCAAGCAAGCACACTACGAAACTCACAAAATAACTCCCCACATAACTAACAAACAACTACATATGCAAACAAACAGATCAACTACCGAAGAAACAAACACCCAAGTTGCCTAACTCCCCACCCACCCGAGGCCCAGCCATGCGGCCATGGCCTTTGCGCGCACGTTGGCGGCTTCAAGCGGCGCTGCGCGCTGAAACGCCGCGGAGGCGGAGGCCCAGGCGGCCATGGCGAGGTTCTGCGGCGCGGGCTCCTGCGAAGGCGCGAGCCCGCGCGAGGCGCGAATGCGCCGCGAGGCGGAAGTGGCGCCGAAGGGGGGCGGATGGCTGGGGACCAAGGGAAGGGAAAGCCGAAAAGCCAAGAAGCCAAGAAGCCAAGAAGCCAAAAGCGAAAAAAAAAATCGGAACAACAACAACACAAACGAAAAAACAAATCCTAAAAGAATACCCCTCCAAGGGAAAATCCACGATGTTGGGGGGTCCCCCCTAAAACAACACACATCTATGTGTTGAATCAAAACGTGTCATTTAACTTGGTGCGGTTGAGAGGGAATGAGAAATGGAATGACCCCGAACAAGAACAGTAACTATGGTTTTCTGTGGGCGAATTCAGTGACGCTCCTATGAAATGGCGGGGGTTTCTTTAGATAGATCAGGGGGTTTTTCAAATTCTCCATTTACCCCAGTGTTGGCAACCCCAAGAAAACACAGAAGGGGCTCGATAGGCAGGGGGGAGAAAGAAATGGAATGACCCCTGTAAACCATTCGCTATGGTTTCCGTTCAGATCCCGAGGTTCATTCCCAAATCCCTGGGCCCTACGCGCCCGTATTTGGGCACGGGCTGCATATTTTGCGAACCGCAACGAGTAAGAATCATCTCAGAGCCCCGCTCCTGGCAAGCATGCTACAACCACGGTTACAAGCTAGTTGCTAGCGCCCAAAACGCTACCAAGCTTGTAAATTTCTATATAGGCTTCACTAAAGCCGGGTCGAGCCACCTAATCAAGTGGTGCTTATCTGGCAGGTTTTGGGCACTCACTTGTCCTGGGCCCATGAAAGTGAGAATCGTGAACCACGAAACGACCCATTAAAGTGATAATCATGGTCATTAAGGTGTTATAAATTCGATCACATCTGGACTATAACAATTAATGTATACAATTGCGAGAGAAAAACATTTCGTTGAATTGACTCGTCCAGTAGCAGTAAATCAGCCATGTTCTGTGGCTCAGCTGGACCGCCTAAGGGTGCTTTCACGCGACCGTCGGAGTGACAAATTAACATCGAAATAATGACACATGGAAAACCAACACAACACATCTGAAAAGTGATGTTGAAATCCCCTCACAAGAGTAGACACACAAACTTCAGTGTTTGCAACAAGTTATCACGATTGCTGATCTACAGGGGAAATGCAGGAACGAACTTAGCGCAGAAAGGCTTGTGCCGGCTGGCAAAGAACTGTTGGATCATCAATAAAAAATGGCTGAATTTGGCAGTCATGGAATCGATTTCCTCTCCCCCGACAGGTTGAGAATCCAACCGCTACCAACCAAGCGCAAGGGGTTGAACGCAGCAAATACCAAGTCACTTCCCAGGTGAATCGGTCAGATCAGGCTTCTTGCCCAGCTTAAACATTTCTTCCAACAAAGTGACTGACGTCTACAAAGAAGGCCCTTTTCAAGGTCGTTTCCACCTGAAAGTAACAGATCTCCCCACCGAAACGGAACTATCGGCTGGTACCCATACTCATCTTACAAAGGCTAGTTGCCTTTTGGACTTCTAATTGCAAAGAATGATACACATTACATGTGCGGCCCGTCTAAGGGATCGCACGGATGCTAGTCATGCACAATGTCCTGCGATGCTTCTTGGAACCCATGGCCCCTGTAAATCCCCAATGCTCCATGTTTGGATTGTGGCTCACTTGCTTACATTCTCTTTGGTGCGCAAAGCGGATATCTTACGGTGGCCTGTGCTGATTACCTTTCGAGCCAAAGGGACATGGTTGGTCCTGTAAGAAATTGTAATGCAAGGCCGGCCGTATGGAATCTTGACCAAACCACACGTGGTAAAGATTAACCTTCGACTTTCACCTTGGCCAGCATGTACCGCCAGAGGAAAACCCAATGACAAAAGCAGTCAATTCGTCGTGGTTTCAAGTGAGCCATACAAAAGTCAATCGGATTTAACACATATTTTTCCTTCCATGGTAGGCTGTTTGTTTAAACAAACAGCAGATGATGCTACGTTGATCTGGCCGGATGGCTATGACTTAGGGACTCTTTGCTGGGCATCTCTTTTACGGGCATTTGTGTTCACCAACAACTTAAGAAGGTATTCCGCATTCAACATCCCTGCCACATTGGAACTTGAAGAAACCCAAGGTCGAGTCCCGAACCGTTGATTTGGATCCCAAACTTGAGCTCCAGGGGACAAACCTGGGAACAAAAACTTAACATTTTGGGACCTATCGCTGAAAATGCAAAGCTGAAAAGACCTGCTTTGGGTTTCCGTAAATATCAGAGTCTGTCCAAGAACTCAGGGAAACTGCCCTCCCCATGGCGAAGCCCCTCGAGAGTTGGCTCTATTGGATGATGGCCCCACCCCTGCTCCTGTGGTTGATTAGGGTTGTATGTCCCATGCTTGTGGGGATCTGAACAGCTTCTCGGAGGAGTTGCACTGCCTGCCAATGTACCAGGATCTCCTAAATTCCTGGGTCAACCCACTAAGCAGCTAGGCTATGACCATGGCTATATCTGGGGCAACGAGGGGAATGCTTTGAAATGCAAATCAACTATGTGAGCCCAAGACCCAAGCACAGGTACGCTTCGAAATTATTTTTCCGCCTATTGTTGGCTAGGGAGAAAACCCATATGAAGGCAAACAAAAGCAGCTCTCAGAGTTCTTTCTGTGTGTCCATTAAGGGAGGGGTAATTACCCGACTGTCAGTAGGTTTTACCTGACATGATTTTTGGCATTCCGTTCTGATAAAAGGACCCCCGAAGTGATTGGCGGCTTCCCTTTGGCTTCCAAACCAAACCAATCCCAAGAAGGGTACCCTCAAAAACATATTAAAACAACGACACCCTTTCAGCCAATCCCAAAAAGGGCAACCTGAAAAAACCGATTAGAACAAGACTAAACAGCTGTTGAAAATCCACGCCGAGGCATCGTCGCCCCCGAAGTCCTCCAGTTCGTCGAAGCGTACCGCTGCCATCTCAAAGAGCTGCGGAGCCGACGTCTCCAGCTTCCTGGACCCCCACAGGCTGTTGGCCGCGTCCTGACTCGAATGTCACCCCCAAAACGGGGGGACGGGAAACCAACAGAAGCTGGGCTAAACAAGGGTGGGGACAAGGTGAGAAGTTTTGTTGGTAATATTATGATGATTATTGTTGTTATTATATATATAATACAAAAAAAAGCCTTCAGAAACCACAGGAAACACTTGATCAATTTGATTCATATCATGGGCTCGCAACAATACTTACAAGAAGCCCAGGAACACACCCAGAAACCACGTGGTTCCGACCTTAGAAACACAGTCATGGCACAGTGCGAGCATTCGGCTCAGCCAATTGTCTGGTAGAAGCCCCAGTCCCGAACCCCCTTTTGGGCCCCCGTCCGGACCGCCCTTTTGAGATGTCGTCGATGTATCTATAGTAAACGTCTTTCACCGGCCGATCCTATGTCAGACTCAACTCTTGTTTTATTTGTTTAAGCGGAGTCTGGAAAACAAACGCAAATATCCATCTTTTTTTGGCTTCCTTTACAGCAAGAGAGACGTCCACAGTTCTGTGCTATTCAGCGGTTTAACAGTTCACTCTCCAGTTACTCTTGGGATATCTCTGCATAGATTCTTCCAACCCAAGGCTCTGGCATCCATTGAAACCTTAGACCTTCAATAACAACAGGAAAGTAACGCCACACGAGTTTGTAGCTGATTCCAATGGAAAGATACCTCCGACCAAAAAACAAAACAATCGGCACTGGGAAATAGTTGATGCCATTTCAGCGTCTCAGTGCGCTTCACTCCGTCTTCATTCATGCGCGTATCAGCGACTCGCTGCGCAAGCAAGCAAAACACTGCAAGAGCATGGCCCAACCACGCGTGTTTCCCGAAATGGGGACTCCCCATTTATTTGTGTTCCTCTTCACTTGCCTTGAATAAACGACAAACCCGATTCCCCCATGCTGAGAAACTCCGACACAGCAAAGTATGGGCTGCCCGCAGCTAGCAACCAATTGTGAGATTTGCTCTGAACTAACCAACCTTGAAAGAAGGGGCCCGATATGATTCACCAACCTAAAGCTCACCAAGAACCAACAATATACCCCCCCCTCCTGTTGTTCAACCCCCCCCCCCAACCACAAGTTCCGCTATAATCTTTCTTCACCAACCTGAAAGGGCCCCACAGGAAACGAACCTTCATGCCTCACATCCGCCGCACTCCAAAAGCGAATTCATCCGTCAGAAACCCGACACGACATGTCAAGCTTCAAGCAAGATGCTGCCTGGACATTTCGAACAAACTTGCGATCCTGCTGCACCTCAAACCATACCCTGGAAGTAAGCGTTGTGAATATTACAGGGCGATGCACCATTCAGACTACCTTGACTAATGCCGGCCCAGCTACTAACCTACACAGACAACAAACACAACTTACTTTTGCCCCAACTGTACAACCACTCCTCCACCTACATGGTGCCATTGTGAGAAATCCCTGATTAATGCTTTCAAATGTGTGTTGTGTATTGGCCGGCAATTTGCAGGTAGACGTAACTGTCTTGAGTCGGAGTGGGTTTTCGAGATAAATGGACTGATGTACATACCCTCATTGGTTGGTACCATAAGCCGAGGAACATGCTTCTGAGAACCTTGATGTGATGCTTGCGCCAAACACTTTAGAACTTTTGTTGGCGCACACCCTCCCAGCACATCCGGATTATCGGGCCGCTTTTGTTTCAGCATGAAACTGCCCGAAATCCAAACTAACCCTGTTGCGGCGCCCGTGGTTAAGGGCTCTCTGACATAAGCTTTAACCGAAGGCTTCCTTTCATCGAGCAACCAAACAAGGCCCTTGCAACCAAGGAAGACTCTTTTAAGATCCTCTGAACACGGAATCTAGCAACGACATCCTGAACATGCACCCAGCAAGTGGGCGCCAAACAAACAAATACCAAGGGTTGGGTCCTGAAACAACGGGCCGGCGAAAGCAACGTCATCGCAAGCTCTCACTCGTCATCGCAAGCTCAGCTTGTGGCCTGCTAAAACAAACTAAAAAGACTCCAGGCAGGTCTTGAACAACTGGGAGCGTGCCAAAAGAAATTTGAAAAAGACTCCAGGCTCCTGAAAAACTGGGAGCCTACACTAGGTCCTCCAGAGATAGGTTAGAATAAGGGTACTTGTTTTTTCTGTAGTCTATTTTGGTAGGGGAACCCTCCCCCCAAAAAGGGTAAAAGGAGGCAAAAGGGCACTACTGGCAGACCTAGTGCCCCAACAAGACACACTCCGAGAGGTGCAGGGCGGGGGCTCCCCTCCTGCGCATCGAGGGTTCGGATGAGCCCGCAGGCCGCGCGTGCGGCCGAGTCCATCAGCGGGCCCTGCAGGTTGGGAAGGAAATCGAAGGGGGCGCAACGCTCTGGGCGTTTCGTTTGGCATCCCTTTTTAGGGATTGGTTTAAAGAAAATGCACTTGTAAATAAGTCCGCTTCGGTTTAAAGAACATTTACTTGGTTAGTCTGAGCTGGAAACAATCCCCTTTTTTGGGCTTGTTGGTTCCGCTTCACTTTGGCACTTTGGAGGCGAACACCGCTAGTAATCTGCCAAGTTGGTTCATCCAGGATCAAGTTGGTAGGACAAACTTAGTGCGCATGAAGCATCTGCCACTTAGGAAGTCGGGCAGATGGAATGCTCTCTGGGTCCTGAGTGAGGAGCCAAAATTCATGACTCCAGGAGGGTATGCATGAGTGCACTTTTCCACTTTTGAAGGAGGTTGTCCACACCTGCGTTCTCAACATTCCAGTTGTCGGTGTGTATATATAGATATATATATATATATATGTATATGTATATATGTATATGTATAAATTTTAATATGTCATTTTTTTGAGACAGACATGGGAGCCGGACAGCTATGCCGCGGACTTTGTCGAGAAAAAAAGGGATCTTCGAAGGATTCCTCGAAGCTGCAGCGCAAACTCAACAAGTATCAAATCCCAAAACACTTTGTCGAAGTTCCGCGACGCCGGAAATCCAGACCCACGCCCCTTGCCGAAACCTTCTGATTTTATGTATATATATATGCGTGTGTATATATATATATATGTATATTGCGGTATAATACTAATAATAATAATAATAATAATAATAATAATAATAATAATAATAATAATAATAATAATAATAATAATAATAATAATAATAATAATAATAATAATAATAATAATAATAAATAATAATAATAATAATAATAATAATAATAATAATAATAATAATAATAATAATAATAATAATAATAATAATAATAATAATAATAATAATAATAATAATAATAATAATAATAATAATAATAATAATAATAATAATAATAATAATAATAATAATAATAATAATAATAATATATATATATATGTATAGAGATAACTACGTCCGTTTGGCCGTTTGGAGGGGACTACCTCAGGTTGGGAGTTTTTGAAGCCTTCACCTTCAAGAATCACAGATCACGTTCAGAAGAACATGAAAACTATGAAAAGGGGCTTCGTGCCCCTTGATTAGTTGTGTCAATCACCCCGGTTTGGCTTTTAAAACAAGCCCCACCATAGAATGCCATCCCCAAACCTGTGGTCTCTTTGATCTTTGGGCAGTTGACTCTAACGGGAACCTTTTTTCCAAAACAAGAGGAACACGACAGCCCAACTGTGGACCAACGAACAAACGGGGATACGAAAGGGAGCGGGGATATGGGGGGATTCCCTTGGCGCCATTTCCCATCTCAAACTTAGTCAAAGTGCATCAAACGGGGGAATCCTCCCGTATCCTTGGTTCCCCGTGTATCCCTGCTACCCTCCCACCAGCTAACATGGAAGTGCACAGACCCCTGTCGAAAGACTACTTTCCGCTTCTTCTTTTTGCGGGGGGTCTAACAAAGACACACTCCCCGTATACATTTGGCTGTGGGTCAAAAATAGGTAGTTACCCAAAATGGAACCCTGGTAAATGGAAACACGGACTAAAATCTGCGGTCCCCTGGTCATTTAATATTGACCCACACCCATTTGGACAAACATATTAAGCACATGAAAGCCCAACGTCCGCAGGCCGCCGAACCCGAACGCCGGAAGGCCGGATCGGAGTCGGCTCGTCGGCTCGCCTCGCGAATGCGCGTAGTCGCCGAAGCCCAGGCGCCGTTGGCGATGTCCTGGCGCCCAAACTGGGAGACGTCGGTGGAAGGCCTCGCTGGCGAGACGCGAGGGGTGGGGAGTGGGGGGGTTGGGAGGGGGGGTTGGGGGTGGTGGGGGGGAAGCTTTGTTTTGTAGAATATTCAAGGGGTGGGGGGGATTGCAATTCCCATTTTTAAGGTGGTGGGGGGAATTCTAAGATGGTTTCTACCATTGCGTGGTTTAATGGGTGGCTTTTTTCCATCAGGAAAGAGGGCAAAAAGCGGGCGGAGTCTCTACGATGGTTTCACACACACACACACACCACTACCCCGCAGGAGTTTAATGGGACATACACCTTTGAAGGAATGGCTATGTGACGGCTTTCACGCATCCTCCCCCCGCAGGAAATGGGCTCTGAATGCTGTCACCGAAGCAGCACTCACCCAGTCCTTGCATTCATTCCAGGTTGGCCCCAGATTCATCAAGAATAGAAAATCTAGAGATGTGTTGTTCTTTTCCAGAAAGAGGAATAGGGTCAGTGTACATGTCAGCTGCCTTAGGTTGATGAACCATTTGGTTAGACAGGGGGCGTCCACCTAGCTTTGAGGGTGTTCCAATGGACAGGGAGACACCCAGCGGCAGTCCGTGAGGGAGATATTTTGCTGCTTGCACGCTCGGGGATTAGCAACTTTGCATTTTGCCGAGCTGCCGTTTTGACACAACCCAAAAAAACGTTTGTCGAACACGACTTTTTTGCAAGGCATGCCAAGGAACTCGGCAAGACATCTGTTCTAGAGTTCATGTCCACAGAACACCACGTGCAAAGGAAGCTCACGCAAGATGGAAACCACACCTTGATGTTGAACATCGACCACAAGGGAAACTCATGAAACCAACGGTTTTGTCAATCAAAATCTGCCCCGCAAAATGTTTGAACCTCCGTCCCAGCCTTACCTTAAAACATCTATAAGACATCAAGGGTTGTTTGGCAAACGACGCAATCAGGGGGTGTGAACCCCATCCCTTCTAATCGAGCCATAAATCTCTACCTGCGGCTCCAGGCAACGCCTGCGCAATCTCTCGATTTCTGATGCCACGTCATTTCAAGACCATCTTCATTCGCCGCGAGTCGGAAAATATGCGGGTCTTAAAACAAAGCAAACAACAAATACTCACCTGCCCAAAGGACCCAGGAATAATAACAGGGACACTAACATGGTCGTCTTTGGGCAAGTAAGACTTCGAAACGAGCTTTCTGAGAATTGCTGAGACACACAGGTCAGAATCAAACCTATCAAAATAGCCAGAAGCATGTACAGAATTCAGAAGGCGGCCGTGCCTATTTCTGGTTGGGATTCTCCCTTACTAACCTTCATCTGACCAGATTTTGAGCACGTGGCTCACATCGCTTCGCCCTTCTCTCGAAGCGACGGGACCAGCTTTGCCATTTTTTTTTCGGGCCCAGCTCAGTGAGAACCGGGGAAACACTGGCAGAACCAGTTACAGTGGGAAGGCCACAAAACAAGAAAGGGAGTTAGAGTGGAATTCACTCACTGGGGTGGATTGTTCAATTTTCTGAGTGAGGGGTTCAGAATTCACAGCCCTCAGGTCGATCCATTCACGAAGGGCCTTGCAAGAGTGGAAGGTCCTTCCGTTCACCGTAAGCCTTCAGAGCTCGTTCCAGGAAGCCAAACACTCAAGGTGCTCATAGATTCTCCTAGATGGGGTTAGAAGAAACAATCATGAGAGACACCTACTGGTACCTCTACGCCTCTACGCCTCTACGCCTATTCTTACGACCTAGGGTGCACCGCGAAACCAGCAGTGTAGTGACAACCCCTCAACTTGGTTGACGTTGGAAGGGGAGAAGAAAAAACATAGCAGCTAAGTGGGGATTTCCCACTAAACCACAATAAGCAAACATGTAAAACGTTTCCCAACAACAACCATGTCAAGAGCTCAGGTCACCCGAGTTGCGGGCTTCTGAATTTCGAGATCCGACTGAGTGGTCTTTCAGGGATCCTTACATTATACACCCTTACATTATACACCTGAACATTGCCTTGTGCATGGTGGTTTCCCTTTGTTTTGGTACGGAAAATGCCATGTTTCAAATGGTTGCAAAATGTTTCAAATGTATCTTTTCCCCAAACAACGGGACTTCCCAAGGCCCGCAACCTGCGCTCCAGACGAAGGGGCGGCCGCCATACAAGGACGCAGGCAGCGAGAGCCCGTGCGAGGCCAGCGACGTCCTGCAAGGTCTGAAGATGGGAAGTGAGGAGCAAATGAAATGATCCACCGTGTTTTCACGAACCCACTTTACTCTACTCAGTTGCCCAAAGGACCTAGAAATACAAGGTTATAATTTGGGACCTTGATTGAAAGTGGACCAAAGAAGAAACACCAAAAGGTCAAAAGGTTGGCTTTGGGCATGTGAGTTTAACCTGCCAACAACAAGTTTGTTGTTGGAACAAGTGAGCACCAAACTGTCATTGACGTGTGGTGCATGCTTAGGAAGGCTTCAGAGCGATCAAAGCAGCGAGAACCCTGAACCAAAGGGTCACCTGAAAAGTATATCCGGCCCCTCTAAAAAAATAAACCCTAAGCCCTCTCAGCCCAGAAAAGGTGACATGTCCCCGATCAAAATGAGTGGAGGTTTGGGCTCTAGACTGGATCCTTTGTGAATAAGCCCAGGCTCAGAATTGTGCTTGTTTTGGAGGGGAAATTTGGCTGTGGGTCAAAACCCTGTAAGCCTGGTGAACATCAAAATAGGTGGTACATGGGTGTTCATCCGCCCCAAAATGGAGGTATACGTTACGACCCATGGCTATTTGAAGATGTCACTTCAAGCCCACAACCCGAGCTGACTTTGGTTCTGCAATATTGTTACAAAGAAGCCAGGTAGTAGAACCATGCACACGCACAAAAAGAAGGTACCCTAAAAAAAACGTCGTTTCCTTGAACGCCAACCAACAAGGTTGTCATGTCTTGGTTGACGTTGGAAGGGGAGCAAAACAAATGAAACAAATAGCAGTCAACTGGGGATCTCAACCACTAAACCACAAAAATGCAGCCTGAAGTAAAATGTTTCCCAACAACAACCATGATGTTGAGAAACACCCTCAACTCGGTTGCTTTCTGCCCGCCTGCTGGAAAGTTGTTAACTTTTAGTGGGTTTAATACGGAAAACCCATTACTTAACAAACACTTGTTCAGTCCTAACATCCAAGCAAAATGCGCCAACGTCAACGCGCTACCCGCCGCCTGCGGCCGCAGCTCGGCGCGCTTTTGCGCCGCGGCCTCTGCTGCCGCGGCCAGCGGCGGCCAAGGCGCCGCGAGGAGCGCGGCAAAGGCCCGGCAGCTGTTGGTCGACTCCTGCGAGGTTTGGCTGAAACCGCCGGAATGTCGAGCCCGGATGCATTTTCACCCCTGGTTGTGGGTTTTTGGGAGTGTTTTTTGGGGCTGTTTGTAAATTTTGCAACCCCTGTTTATGTATGATTTTTTATGGGGGTGTTGTTTGGGTTTAGTGATTCATCACTTTTGGAGGGGAAGGCCCCATATTCATAGTTTAGGGCTGTGGGAAATGGAATCCACTTCTGTGATACAACATAACGGTCTTCCCAAAGACTTCCCCCCATAGAAAGGGGGAAGATTCCCTTGCATCATACAAGTGAGCAATTGCGAGATTGTTCGAATGTGGTTTCCCTTTAAAGACAGCCAAAAGCGGGTTCCCCACAAAAGACACACCCATACTCATGGCTTCATGTTTGAAAGGGTCGTTGGAGGGCACCCAAAGGTCTGTGACCAACCGATATTCAGCAAAGAAACAACGCTACAAATATAAACCATTATCTTCCAGCACCCCCAACCACTGCTTTTTGGACAGTACTTGCGCTTTCGGACATGGGAAGAAGCAGTTGCTGGGAGGTGCTTGGCTCTTGGTTACGTTTAAACAAATATTTCTTGTTAAGTCCCCTGACTTGCTGCTTCCTCCCCGGGAATCATTCCCTGTTTCCCTGACCAGACCAGCAAGGATGGAACTCGGCTGTTCGTTCTGTTTGGATTGCGAGCTTCGATCGAAGCAACCGAACCATGCAATGGTCATGTGGTGTTCCCACGTCGACTTTTCCTCAAGGTGCCCAAGCCTGGTTCAAATGGAGTCTTGGCCCAATACACAATCGCATTGGACAGCCGCAAAAGGGGGCCCTTTCGTAACCCTGGATAGTCGTAACCCTGGGTAGGGATGAAGAAGCGCAGCGTCGCATGCATTTTCCCTCAACATGGGCGGGTGCCCTTTGGTCGTCTCTCTAAAGTACATCAACCCAATCAACCCAATGAGGGTTCCCCATTCAAGGAAAAAAAAATCTTTGGGTTTGAAGGGAGCTTTGTTTGAAAACAAAGTCAAAGCCCAACGCCCCCCCCAAACCAAACAGAACCCAGCTCTGCTTCCCTTTCCACGGGTTGTTTAAGCCGAACCAGTTTGCACGAAAGGCAAGCCAAACGGGCTGCTCAAAGGCAATTCACCTTGCCAAAGCCCCAAGGTTGAAAGCTCGGGTTCGAGCAAGCCGCGAAAAAATGGTCTTGTCAATTCGGTCTAACCCTATTCTAAAAGTTGGAGGACCTTGTACCTTAGCACCAGGCGAAGGGTGTTTCAGCTTGGCAAGGGAAGGTGCAGGAAAACAGCCAGGGGGTCGCAGAAGAAAAATCACATGTCTGGACCCATCGTCGGCTTCTCCTGCGGCTTGGGCTCCAAAGCGCGGGCAGTCGCCAGCGCCCCGACGCCGGCCATCAGCGGTGCCTGCAGTGAGGGGCCTATGGCCCGCTTTAAATATTTTTAGGGCATCCAACAGAGGGGCTGGCCAAAATTGTTAACACCACTTACCCATCGCCTTTAATTTTGCTTTGACTTTGAGTTGTTGCCACGTTTCTGAGACTTAGATCGATCCCCTGCAAGTTAAACAGTATTGTAACGGAGAATGCAGGACACTCAAGAAAGGAACAAGTCAAAAGGCGCAGTTTGTCTGGCAATGTTTGCAGGAATGCTCCAACCTTCAGGTTTTCCCCCCGTTTTCTTTTGGGCTATATAAGCGGGGCCTTTACACCTGACATCATAAAACATCAGCTTTGGGCAGGTGAGCCGAACACCGGAACTTCAGCGGCCAAAAGAAAGTATACAACTGTCTGCTGGCCGACTAAGGGAAGCCTAAAGAACAAACGGGTGCCTGCGTCTGTGGCAACCCATTTTAGAAATCTAACAATACTTCCAAAAGACTGGAATACTGGATCCCCCAAGTAAAGGACCTACATCATGGGTTTTCGCTTGTGAACCCCCCGATCGGTTTTCGCTCCAAACCCAACAAGCAGGCAGAGCTCCAAACCCCGCACTCGCCTGCGTGGTCTGAAGGCTGGCCGTGCCCCACGACACATTTGCCAGGGACTGCGGCGTACACTCAGGCAATAAGCGCCCGAAGGCCCGCAGCATGGAAGCCTTGGCCAAGGGCGAACCATGCTGGGAGTCAAATTCTGGGGGAGGCCTGAAACAAATCTAATATGACTCGTCTCCTTTGGATATCCGTTTCGGCAAACTGAACGTCGCGGGCTAGTGAGCACCCAGCTTGGCTTGGCTTGTCATGTGCTTGTTTTGCAAGTATCAAGTTTGTTTGCAGGTCTAACTTGTAACTTTGCCTGGTTCCAGCTGGTCACTGGGCAAGCATGAATCGTACGTGAATGAATGAACGAGTGCACGAGTCAATGAGAGAATGAAGGAAGGCAGGAAGGCAGGAAGGCAGGAAGGCAGGAAGGCAGGAAGGCAGGAAGGCAGGAAGACAGGAAGGCAGGAAGGCAGGAAGGCAGGAAGGCAGGAAGGCAGGAAGGCAGGAAGGCAGAAAGGCAGGAAGGCAGGGAGGCAGGAAGGCAGGAAGGCAGGAAGGCAGAAAGGCAGGAAGGCAGGGAGGCAGGAAGGCAGGAAGGCAGGAAGACAGGAAGGCAGGAAGGCAGGAAGGCAGGAAGGCAGGAAGGCAGGAAGACAGGAAGGCAGGAAGGCAGGAAGGCAGGAAGGCAGGAAGGCAGGAAGGCAGGAAGGCAGAAAGGCAGGAAGGCAGGGAGGCAGGAAGGCAGGAAGGCAGGAAGGCAGAAAGGCAGGAAGGCAGGGAGGCAGGAAGGCAGGAGGCAGGCAGGAAGGCAGGAAGGCAGGAAGGCAGGAGAGGCAGGGAGAGGCAGGGAGAGGCAGGGAGAGGCAGGGAGAGGCAGGGAGAGGCAGGGAGAGGCAGGGAGAGGCAGGGAGAGGCAGGGAGAGGCAGGGAGAGGCAGGGAGAGGCAGGGAGAGGCAGGGAGAGGCAGGAAGGAAGAATCAAGGAACAAAGGAACAAAGGAACAAAGGAACAAAGGAACAAAGGAACAAGGGAACAAAGGAACAAAGGAACAAAGGAACAAAGGAACAAAGGAACAAACCAACGACCAAACAAACGAACAAACGAACAAGCAAAGCAAACAAACGCACAAACAAACAAATCAACACACCAGCAACACAACAACAAACGACTGAACGAACGAACAAACGAACAAACGAACGAACCAACGAGGCAAACGAACCAACGAAGCAACGAACCAACGAACCAACGAACCAACCAACCAACCAACCAACCAACCAACCAACCAACCAACCAACCAACCAACCAACCAACCAACCCACCCACCAACCAACCAACCAACCAACCAGCCAGCCAGCCAGCCAGCCAGCCAGCCAGCCAGCCAGCCAGCCAGCCAACCAACCAACGAGTCAACCAGCCAACCTGCCTACCTACCAACCTACCAACCAACAAAATACTCAAACAACAAAAACACAAACAAAGAGCTAAAACAAACAAAAAGACACGTCGGCACAAATGAGCAAGTAAGTAAACAAACAAATGAACGAACACCTGGCAACTGGACGAATGCACGAATACCCAAACAAATCAACGAACAGAACGGAATGGAATGGAATGGAATGGAATGGAATGGAACGGAATGGAATGGCTGGAATTGAATGGACTGGAACTGATGATACACACGTGAGTTGTCCAAATTCAGACAGCATCCCGCAAAATTGAAGAACCGGGTCTCCAGTGGCCCATGGGAGAAAAGGCCACTTTGCGTGGTTGTTGAATTTAAACGGCACCCCGGCAAAGAAAAGGCAACCAAAAAAAGCTGGGCATCTGTCAACTGGGAGGGGACCTAAAAACGATGGTTTTCCTTTGGGCTTCCTTCATATAAGGAAAGTGGAAACAAAAACAAACATGGAAACCTGAAAGTCGCCGGAAAGTCTTGGAACCAAAAGGCTTCTTGGCACAGTTGCCACTGAGACGCCAGCGGCATGTCCGCAGCAGCCAAGGTCGCGAAGCCCCGTAGAAGATTCGCCAGGTGCTGCTGGGTGCACTCCGCAAGCCTCCGAGTGAGACGCTTGAAACCGTGGAATGGACTGCTTGCGCTTGGTTGACGTTGAAAGGGGAGCAACAATTGAGAATTTTTAGCAGTTAAGTGGAGTTGGATATCAATCAAACCACAATAGGCAAAAATGTAAAATGTTTCCCAACAACAACCACGTGCAGGTTGAATTGCCGGCTGGGAGAACCGTTTTTGTTGGACTGAAGCAACCCACCCGATGGTTTTTGGACGGCAGCAAGACACTGGCAGAACAGGGAACGGATACCACTATTTTGGAGGTCCCCTATCTTGACAAATATGCCGATTTGACCTCCTAAATGTGGTGCTGTGATTGAGGTTGCCACACCTGCCTAAACGGACTCGAAATAGCAGGTGAACCTTGCGGACATGCACTAAACATGAAACAAAATGGAAAACCAAAAGGTCAAATCCGGTGAACGTCAGGGGAATCCACAAAAACACACCACACACACACACACACACACCCGCTAGCATCATCTCAACCTCTTCCACTAGCTTGTCCGATTGGTCAGTATCTGCCTCGCCTGCCTTAAAATTTCAGATCCACAAAAAATACTAGCTCCCAAACGGCAAATCCTTTACATACTCTTGTTTGAAAAGTGGCCCCGAATCAATCCTACAAGGGGGGTAGTACTTGGGGGTTGATAAAAACTGTATTTAGAGGCCCCCCTAAATAAAGATTCCTGGTTGCCCCCCCCAAAAAAAAAATAAAACTCAACTCGAATTTGAAAAGGCTTTCTTAGTAAAAAGGCTCAATCTTTAAAAGATCTCCGTTGAAACTTGCTCCCTATGATTTCAATCATCTAGCTTTTGCAATCCCCAAACTGCAATTTATTTACATACTCTTGTTTAAAAAGTGGCCCCCAATCAACCCCAACAAGGGGGGTAGTACTTGGGGGTTCAAAAAACATTATTTAGGGGGGGCCCGTAAATAAAGATTCCTGGTTGCCCCCCCGCCAAAAAAAAAGTATCACCAGCAATACTAAATCAATTGGAATCTCAACAAGTCAAATCTCAAAAGGAGGCTCCAGCAATACTAAACCAGTTGAAACTCAAATCCCTCAGCAATACTAAACTTACCCCTTAAAACTCCAAGCCCCGGGGAAGTTAATCTTTTTACAGACATATAGCCCATGTTACCCAAAAAGTTGAAAAGTTGTGTTTTTAAGAGGTAAGTAAACCAATTGTAAACTCCAATCCCTCAAGTCAAATCTCAAAAGGAGGCTCCAGCAATACGAAATCAATTGAAAACTCAAATCCACCAATACTAAACCAATTGGAAACCCGAATCCAATCTCAAAAGGAAGCTCCAGCAATACTAAATCAACACAACAAGTCTGTGAGCAATACTTAGCAATTCGTAATCAAGTTGCAAGAACTATTTGAGGAGGGAAGTTGTTTGAGGGGTTCTTAATCAGAGGCAGACATTATGGTTCTAACCCTCTTGCGTGGGTTGAACATCCACTAAGGGCCCCCCGTCTTAACCCTGAAGCGCCGTTCCTCCGAATCCACGCGGAAAGGCAAGGCACCTAGCAGACTGGCGGGTGAAGTTGAGCAGCGCAGTGTGCAACGCGGCTGCCTGGCATTAGGAAATCAAACTCTTCAGGTTGCCTATATGGATGATTCTGCGCCCCATCTGGGGAAGTTTGGGGGGAAGTGCGAGTGGAGGTCAGCCAGGAAAGTTCGTGTGCCAGGCCACTTTAACACTTTCCCGTGCAAGCTGCAAACGTCAAGCCACAGGAACCCAATCTTCCACTCCGTACATCCTGCAATAAGCCCTTTAGGCGCTGCGTCTGGTTATCGTTTGGAATCATACGAACCGAGCGGTTTTTCACAAATCAATTTGGACCTGCTGACATGCTCAGAACATGTCCTCATTGCGTTTGTCTGAGAAGCCTCAAAATTGGTGCAGTGCCATTCGTTTCTTTTGAAAACCATCCCAAAAAGAGTACCCCTCCTCCAACACAAACACACACCGCAGTTTTTGAACAGCTTGACAGGTTGGTGTCAAGGCTATATACATCCAGAAACCTAACTAACAGAGCCACAAGCGCTTTGCGCAGTGTTTTTTTTGCTGGACATGCACACTTTTCCATTGTGTGCACTTTTCTGCAAGTGAAGATCCAGGATTAAGTAGAAAAGTAGAACACGAAGTGCGCTCCTGCAGCCCTGGCTGCAAATTTCTAAGTTTTAAGTACGCAAGCAATATGCGAAGAGCATTCACACAGCTCCGCCTCGCGAATCAAGACTTTGAAGACAAAAGTAAGACGCGAAGTGCACTCCCCTCCGGTTGAAAAAGCTCATATTTTTTGCGTGCGAAGGTAGTGCGCGAAGCGCGCTCTCGCAGCTCCAGATCGAAAGTCGAAACTTGTTTTTAAGCGCAAGAGTAATGTTCGCAAAGCGCGCTCAGCTACACTTCCGCCTCTTCAACTCGAACTTCAGAACTTGTAAGCGCAAAAGTAGTATGAAGCACACTTCCACGGCTAAAAGCGCCAGCCTTCTTGCGCTGGCAAACCGCGCGCAGATATGGACAAGAGGTTGCCCAGAGAAACGGACATGACAGATTGGCATCATGCGCAAGAGGGAGCATCATGCGCACTATCATGGGCAACATCATGCACAGCGTGAAGCAATTCACAGCATCGTGTACAAGACAAGTTGACAGGAGAGATTGTGAAGCATGATGCTAAGCTTGCTCATCAGAACTTGCAGAAGCTTCGCTGGGGTAGGGGCAATGACGTGTTTAGGTTTCATTGCTCATCAGGTGGGGGAGGTGTCAGCGTCTATTTCATGTGCTTCTATGCTTTCGGGCCACCTGTCGTCTCGTGTTCTCTCGGGAACTGGCCACCAAAGGCCCGAAATGGCCACACTGGCGCGCATCACGCGGAGTTCGTCCCATCCGTCCTTGGCAAATGTCCGCAGCACATTGGCCAAATCCTGCGGGCTGCTGCCTGGCGCCAGGTTGCCCAAGGCTCGTCCCCAACTTCTCTGCACACTTTACATGGCACACAAAAACCGCCAGTCCTTGTGCCAAGAGCCTCTGAGAATGATGGCTTCGGTTCTCACTCACCCAAGCTCGCACAGGGCCTCTGTGGGCTTCGGTTCTCAAGGAACGCTCGGAACGGGGATGGACTTGGTTGACGTTGGAAGGGGTGCAAAAAACAGGACATTTTAGCAGCTAAGTGGATTTGGATTGCGAGCACTAAGCCACAATAAGCAAACATGTAAAATATTTCTCAACAACCATGTTCCCCAATACATTTTCTGTAAATGATGGCCTTTCTCAAGGAACGGTCGGGACGGGTATGGAGTCGGCTCGGGATCCAAACCCGCCTCGCTCCACGAAGGCTTGCCCCACGCAGCTCAGTGCCGGAAGCTCGGCGAGCCGCGGCACCGCAGAAGCTCGGGCGCTGTTTGCCTACGCCCGCGTCCGGAAGAAGGAGCCAGTTGTCACATGGGAAAATTGGGAGCTGCGTGGTCAAATCAAAACCAGGAATATACTCCACATCGCCAGATGGTACTATAGGTATAACTTCCCATAACATCTTTCAAAAAGCCTCCACAAACCGAACATTCTCCGATTCTCCGCACAACCGCACAGCAATCCGTCCAAATGGGTCAAGTATTGGTGGGTATTTCACAGAGCCGGAGACCCTCTGGGATGGTGTCAAAAAAATAATGAAGCTCAGTAAGGGACAGCACTGCCAAGTGCTCCCCCTTCATCCCCCACCAGGACACCTTCTGAGATTGTCTCAATTCCCCCAGTGGTCCACTGGTCTACTCACCTACACAAAGTAGGAGAAAACCGTGTGAGACTGTAACTGAACTCCTATGAACTCCTGTTTGGTCCCTTAAGTACCCAACATTGTCTGAATTCTGTCCAACTGGCAATAACTTGTTCCCTTGTTGATGTGCCCTTTTGGGACCCTGCACACAAGGTGAACATTCGGAACGCCAGTCAAATCCGGTCGATGTGTTTTTGGGGAAGTCTATGTCTCACTTGAGCGGATTGGCCAGACACAGTCTTCTAGGAGCTGATTCCCCATTCTTTTCAACTATCGTTCTTTTCAAAAACCAGCCGTTTTCCCTGAGATTCCGGAGGTTCTCTAGAAAGAAGGATCCCTGGAAAGAATGGGGAAGGTACCCCTAGAAGTCTGAACTTTCTAATTACTCAAATGGTCTTCCAGAAAAGGATCAAGTCCGGGAGTGCTAACACCAGGGAAGATTCCCTGATCTGGGAAACCACCAACTCTTGTGTGTCTGAAAATTGGGCACCTCCCCCTCCAAAAAAAACAACAACAACCTGGCTGGTTCGCTTTGGTAGCCGCTCAATACCAAAAGGGGACCCCTCAAAAAAAGACACACCCAACATGAAGCAGCATCAGGCATAGCGGAAGCAGCTTCCAGGAGCCCACAACCACTTCATGGCTTACGTTTTTCAAATCGCATACGACTTCAAGGAACAAGAAGTCCCTGTATGGCTATGGCCGCATTCCTGAAAACACCAACCAAACAAATGAATCAATCAAACAAATAAACAAACAAAGAAACAAACAACCAACCAACCGACCAAACAAACAAACAAACAAAACAAACAAACAAACAAACGAGCTAGAAAACGAGCTAGCAAACAAAATCACCAAGACTACCCCATCAACTAGCATGTTTGATTTCGGCCCATATGAAGTAAACCTTAAAATATAAAATCATGACAGGCGAGATCCCGAAACGCGCCACACACGCACACACACGAACAAGTGCGACCACTGCCAGGACGTGCTTCAGGGGCAACTCTGCGGCGGCAAAAGCAAAAGGTAGGCATTGGCAAGGGAAACGAGCCGCAGAGTGAACATAACAAACTTTGGTATTTGTTGCATCTCCGTTGGGTACCTGCTTTATCCCAATAGGTTTCGTCTCCGAACACCCCCAAAATGGTGGTGTCCCGGTCAACCCCGCAAGCGGGTACCAACCCCAGTATGCCTATTCTGAGGTCTGCCCCGGCATGGAAGACAAAAAGAGCCAAACGGGTCCAGAAAGGATTGGGTTAGGACCATCCACCATCAATCCACACTTGTGGGGTTTCAAAATAGCCTGGGTTGATAGCAACATTTGAAAACATAGCAGTTATATAAGTGGTTGGATTTCAACCACTAAACCACAATAAGCAAACATGTAAACATGTTTCCCAACAACAACCATGTAGGCCCTTGGACCATCCCCCATCAATCTACATTTGTGGGGTTTCAACATAGCCTTGGTTGACGTTGGAAGGCGAGCAAACAAAAAATATTTTAGCAGTTAAGTGCTTGGATATCGTTCCCACTCAACAACAATAAGCAAAGTGTGTCCAATGTTTCCCAACAACAACCATGTAGACCCTTGGAGCATCCCCCACCAATCTACACTTGTGAGGTTTCAAAATAGACCTCAGTTGCTTTTGGTGCTGGACTGGATCACAGCGGCATCCCTTATCTGATCCTCTGACTGGTGGTTTAATGTTGACCCTGGATGAATAAACTCCTGTTTATCAATATTGGGGGGGTGTCCCTGGTTTCAGTGGGGATTTATCACTTTTGGAGGGGAACACCCCCATATTGATAAACAGGGGTTTATCAATCCGGGGTCAACATTACAGGGAACCCACCCCCGTTCCCCGATAATCCTCAAATCTGAAATAAGGGAACCCGATTAAACACATCATGGCGAAAAAGCTCGCGAGTTTCTCACGCAACACAGGAGCATGCGACGCATGGCGGGCAACAGAACGAATCGCCAGATTTTAAGGGATGCAGCGAGACTCGTCTGAGACGCACAGAAAAAACAAACTCATTGAGTTCTACCAACATGGCTATAGCCCTTACTTTTCACCTTTATGACTCGGTTGCTTTCCGCTCCCCTGCTACAACTTTAACTTTTAGTGGTTTGATCCGGAAAACACAAATTCGTTGGCAAAAAGTTGTTCAGTCCTAACGTTTCCTTTGGCAAAATGCGCCAAAGATGACACCAGGTGACAGAACCGTCTACTAGTTGGGCGCTCGCGCGCCCCGAACCGCAACTTGCCGAGGCGCCAAGTGCTGCGCGTCGTGCTGGGAGTGGTTGCGCGAGAGGTTCTGGGCGAGGGCGGCCAAGAGGGCCGCATCCTCTGCCAGGACCTGGAAGACCGGGTTGGCCGTGTAACTCACTGGCTGAGTGGTGAGTGGATGGCCCAAAAAATGTCCAAACAATTCAAACTTATCACTATGTTCATGAACTAAAGTGGGAAAGGTCAAACTGAAGTTGGTAAAATGTTCCTAAAAGGTTTGTAAACTTTATATTTACCACTAAAATGGTCGTTTAAAGTTCATGAACGCAGGAAGCGAGTGTATGTTCGTTTGGGTGGGGAGGGGCCGGTGGGAATTGGAGGGATGCGAAAATCAAGGGTTCAAAACGCGGTACATGTAAGACATGCAAAAAACCTGGGCTTTCCTTTTGCTTGTTTGGCGCGCTTGGGAATGAATATTAAACTTTCCGAGCCCACTCAGACATTTGGTCTAAGTACTCTCCTGCAGATTAACATGGCACTTAACAAACCATGGTTTGCAGAGGAAACTCCTATTGGGGGACCCCCTTTTTGGCTTCCATGTTAATTTGCAAGGGAGCAAGTAACTAAGGGTTGACATTGGAGTACGGGGGCTAGACCCCAAACAAGCAAAGATGCGCAACCTACGTGGGTTTGCCATATGGCTGTGGCTCAAGAAACCGGTACCAAAATGGAACCCTGGTAAGTGGAAACATGGACCACACCCTGCGTAACCCCTCCTGTTTAATCTTGAGCCACACCCATATCCAAGCAAACGATTCCAAGTTTCAAGCGCATGACGCCAAGCTCTGACTCCCAGCAAGGGAAGCTGGGCCAGGGATGCCATGGAACCATGTGCCTCTAAAGGGACCTGGACAACGCTGGGCCCCACTGGGCCCGGTGCTTCCTTCTTCCCTTCAACACTCCCATAGAGAGCCATATTAAAAGCACCCACCAAAGTGGAAGCAACAAAGATCACATATTGATTGGAAGTTGTTTTTTATGATCATTGCATCCAGGCTCATGACATGATGTTGGAAAACATATGGAAGCATTTCTATTGCTAAGGCATCCACACACAATAGCAAGCTATTTGACGGCTGCATAGGAACCCCAAAATTGCAAGGGACATATCTGGGTCCCCAATTTTTTGGAAACAAAACACCCATCCCATGTCAGATTCCTTCAGGGATGAAACTGATTGAGTGCTATTTGGCACCCAGATACGGATGTGTCGTGAAATCAGGGAACCTCGAGAATGGTGGTTGTCCGTTTAGTTTCCCCTAAAACTCTACAAAAAGGGTTTCCCTAAGACATGACACACCTAAGGATGACCTCATGTTAGTCAACCCCAGTTTATTAATAGGGGACGTGTTCCCCTCCAAAAGTGGTCCGATTCCCAACCAAACCCCGGGCCACCCAAATTATATGGGTATGGGTCAACATTAAGCCACCAGGGGACCGCAGATTTTAGTCCATGTGTCCATTTACCAGGGTTCCATTTGGGGTACCTATTTGACCTACACCCATATTGAAAACCCCGACATTTCCCATGGCCTTCGTCATGCTCCGCGCGGCGTTCGCGGCGTTCTGTGGCGAGAGCTCCCGGATCTTGCGACCACAGGCCTGCACCAAAGCATCCGCGGCCGGAGAACCCGCGGCGCTCGAAGCGGAGGCCTGGCGGCGAAGAAAACCTTTTGGGTGTGTGTCTGTGTCCCTGTCTAAGTACTCTCCTGATTTATGGGGAACTCAACAAACCATGGTGTGTAGAGGAAGCTCCTATTCTCGGTTGCGAAATCTGCGAGCCCCTGCTAAAAGTGAATAACTTTTAGTGGTTGAAAACCCATGAGTTGGCAAAAAGTTGCTCAGTCCTAACATCCAAGCAAAATGCACCAAAGCTTTTGGGTGTGTCGTTGTTTAGGGCACCCCCCAACAAAAAAGGTGGCCTGAAAGCGGAGCACAGCCCAGAGTACAACCTTTTGGGATCTTCTGGGTGTCTGTTTATGTGGGACCCGTGTAGGTTTCCTCCTCAGTTCCCGGAAACAGACCAAAAAGAAAGGGTAGCCTCAAAAAAGAGCGTTTTGGATAGACAGCGGCTGTTCCTTTACGCTGGCTGTCACTTGTGGGTGAAGTGCATGGAACAAGTCAGCAATTCAGCTATTTGGGGCTCTGGCAGTAGTGCAATGGTGCTTCGAGCCCCGAGCAAGCTTCAACAAATCCAGCTTTGCGATGCAAAATTGAAGCAACCCCCCCCCCCCACATGCCAAATCCTTGCTGGGCTCAGTAGTGCTCAGCAACACTCGGTGAGTCTTACTGAGATTTTGACATTTGGGAGGGGGGGAACACGGGGGGGGCGTTAACTAACCTATGACATATGGATGGCGCAGTTTGCTATCACGGAAAGGTCTACTTTCCACAATCACAATTAGCTTGCTTTGGACTCCCTGAAAGTGGCGCTCGCATAGAGCCGGCCACGGAGTTCATCCACTTTTTAGGAATGCTGCTACTGCCTGTTTGCCCTGGGAAACGGGGATGAATAGATCTTCAAACAATCCGGCGCAAGGGTCCAAAATAACTCCATATCTTGACGACCACCCATTTGAAGAACCAGCAAATAATGAATGACGAATTGTTCAATTGGGGATGTGCCTATTGTCATTCATTGAGTTGATCTAGCTGCTTGAATAAATCTTCATCACCATTACGCCATCCACGCAAGGTATGTGGCCAGAGAGTTATGGTGATGGATCCGACGATGGCCCTTTGGAGATTGCGAACAGAGGGTCCAGGTCCAAATTGTGGTTGAAAGGGGTTGAAAGGGGCGAAACGGGGTTAAAAGGGGTTAACCATCCGCAAATGGTTTTGGAGGGCTTTTCAGGGGTTACTCGTAGCAAGGACTACAACGAAGACTAGAAGGTGACAACTGGGCTGGAGAAACCAGGTTCAGAAGAAGATAACACCTACACGCAGAGCAACATCAAAGACCATACCAATAAGGCAGAGCTCACAACCACAACGGCTACTGGACACACCACCAACCAGATCAAAGATCCAACTACGAGCACCACAAAAGATCTGGAGACCTAAAGCAGCACCTTCAACAGATCTCGACACCACACAACCAAAGGAGACAATCCACAGACCACTCACAGCACAGGAGGACAACCAAGACTCCTGGGAAAGACAAGGTGAACACTGGACAGGACACCACACAACACTTAGAACAACTCTATTCACTCCACCAGATGGACCAGGACATCCACCAATCAGCACACTTGAGCCTCACAGAACTACAATCACTCACAACAACTTTGGAGAAGTTTCACAACGCAATGATGACTGGACACTCATGGGCAACACAGCACTACCATTTCAATGGAAAGGAACAACAAGGTTCACCGTGAAGAAAGACTACGAGTACATCCAGGAGAACCACGATGAGGAACAACAACACGAGCATCATGAAGCACACAGAGCAAGAGGACTACGACAACCACAGCAGCCAACTCCACAACAAATAGCAGAACACAATCTTACACACCTACCATACAGAAACTGGTGTCCAATTTGCGTTCAAGGCAAAGGACGCCAAGACAAGTACAAGAAACAACAATCACGACAACCCGACATTCAAGTAGACTTCGCCTACATCTAATCACAACAAGACCCAAAGACCATACCAGTACTGACCGCAGTTGATGTTACTACACAACTGTGTATGGCAGTAATGGTCCCGGACATGATGGACTACATGGTCAACAACCTACAAGCATTCATCTTTGAGTGCGGAAGGACACAAGGCATACTACAAAGCGACAACGAAGACACACACACACAACGCACTTCTAAAAGCTACAGCAGCAAAAGTCGGCTCAATGACTGTTAGGCACGCACCCTCCTACAGCAGCAACAGTCAAGGAAGTGTTGAGCGACTACACCGAGCACTCCTCGGACAGGTACGCGTCGTCAAAGCACAGGTTGAAAGCAACTACAGCATGACAACTACAGCATGACGATGTCCACGAAGCACTGTCTACTACCTTGGATAGTACGACATGCAGCATGGACGGTAAATCGCTACGTCATCCACTCAGACGGCTACACCAGCTTCGAACGCCGCTGGGGAAGAAACTACGAGCGAGCAATCTGCGAATTTGGCGAGACACTACTTTATCTTCCACCACAACACAAGAAACTTCCAAAATCACAACCTAAAACAGCACATTTTTGAAATCCCGGCTCAGTAAGCACTCAGTAGCACTCAGTAGCACTCAGTAGCACTCAGTAGCACTCAGTAGCACTCAGTAGCACTCAGTAGCACTCAAGCACAACCTAAAACAACACATTTTTGGAGTCCCGGCTCAGTATGCACACACAGTAGCACTCAGTAGCACCTGCCAAGAACACAGCACATGGGCGATCCAAGCTCAACTATTTAGCAGCACGCAATGACTGCTTTGCCAACAAGCAACGCCATGCTTCAACCATGAGAGGCAAGTGGTGGGTCTATATGACTTTATAGGCGTACTTGTATACGTGTATATATATATATACATGTATGTGGTAGAGGTCAGCCTCTCCTCATGGTTCAGAAGCATCAGCCGCTCGCCCCGCTATAATCTGTGGTCCTGTGGTTGGGGTGTGCTTTGGGGTTGGTTTAGGGTTGGCTTCCAGATGCTTAGAGTTGGCTTAGGGATGGCTTAGAGCTGCTCAGAGTTGATTTAGGGATGGTTTAGGGTTCGTTTAGCAGGGATCCTTACATTATACACCTGAACATTGCCTTGTAAATGGTGCTTCGCCTTTATTTTGGTGAAACAAGCCATGTTTCAACTGGGCAAAATGTATCTTTTAAGGAGCCCTGTTTAGGCTTAAGGGTTGCTTGTGGCTGAGCTCCAGGAGGTCTGGGCACCGGTGACCGCGTCTGAGGATCCGGTTCCGGGTCGGGTGGTTCCCGCTCGAGCGGCACCATATATGCAGGACTCGAGCCGAAGAATTCGAGTGGTGTGTTTCTCCGGCTGGTTTTTGGCGACGTGCAATTTGAGGTTTGGTTTTTTTTGGGTATGAGTCAAAACTAAACCACCATGTTTCCATTTACCAGGATTCCATTTTGGGTACATATGTTTGACCCGCAGCCACATGATTCCATGGCTAGTGATAGTTTGGGCAAACATCTTGCCGGTGTCTCATTCTCAAGCCAGACTTGCCGCAAATAAACCCCACGGTGGTCATACCAGGGGTTGATTTGCGTGACGTGGCCGAAACTCTTTTAACGGCTCAAAAGGAGTATCCTCTCAGGGAACTCTTTCCCTTTGGGTTCCAGGTTTTCTTTGCTCTGGATGGTTTGTTCGAGAGAGCCCTTTCCACCAACGGCCCACATGGCTCTGGTTGTTTCACTCTTTCCACGCCTGGCCGCGCCCGTGACTACTTCACCTAAATGGGATTCTTTTGGCATCACAGAAATGGCTCCCATGCCGTCTTTACCGCAACTGAGTCACAATCAAAACCCGGTATTAAAATGGTCTACCCAAAACCAGAATGGCCGCAACTATTTCTGGCTGGGACTGGGACTGCCCCTTACTAACCTTCATCTACCCGGGTTTTGAGCACGTGGCTCAACTGTGGATGGACCGGCCAGTTGGACAACATGCTGCACCTGGAAAGACTTGGAGCTAGTACTGGGGATAAACCAGTTTAATCCACTCACTGGTGCCTGCCGTGACGTTTTCCACCCACAAGATTTTGGAGGCTCCCCTTTCCTCCTGGCTTAACAGATAACAGGGAAAGTCTGTTCAAAGGACATTCAACAGTTTTTTGTGGAGGGGTCCAAGACACCACAGCTAGGTCCTCCGGATTTGAGAGGTTAGAATAAGGGTACCAACTTCTTTCGGCAGTCTATCTTAGGGGAACCCTCCCAACCAAAAAAAGTGAGAAAGGGCACCCAGCTGGGGGACCTAGATGTCGACCCCGGAATCATTTTGACCCCTGCCTGTTTATGAGTTACTTTTGTTTGTTGTTTGTAGTGATTCATCACTGTTTTTTGTGGAGGGTTCCAAGACACCACAGGCGCCCCTTCCCATTTGCACCCGCGGAATCCCGTTCGCCTACAGCGCGTTAGCCAGGCCCTGCGCCGAGAACTCCCAACGACGGCCCGCCGCGCAGGGCGCCGAGGTGTCGAAGGGCGGAACGTGGGCAGCGGCCGACCTCGAGGATCTCCGCCTGAGATCTTGGACAGGAAAGGCTTGGGGCTACGCCAGCTCGGTTGCGAAATCTGCCCCCCTGCTAAAAGTTTAACCTTTAGTGGTTTACTACGGAAAACCCGGTCAAATTGTCAAAGTCCTAACATCCAAGCAAAATGCACCAAAGCCAGGACAAGGAAAGTTGATAAGGCCTTCAGAGGTTAATCAGGGATAGCACCCCTCCTTAGGGGTGCGTAGGCAGAGAGATTCATGGCTGGCATAGGATTCCTTCCATTGGTTCATAGGACACGATTCATCAACGAGAAGCTCATTGGCCTGTGAATTTTCATGGACCCGAAATGGTTTACATCAGATTTCGGTGGGGCGTTCATGTCCACCAACAACTTGCGAGGTGGTGCCTTGGAACTCATAGCCATGAGTATGTGTCAAACTCGGGGAGGTTCAACAAGCTGTGGTTTCCTTATGGGTTTCTTGTACAACCACCCCCAAACGGGGACCGGATACATCCAATCTGCAATGCTCTACAATCAACCCCAAACCCGAAAACGAATCATCCGACCCCCAAGTCAAGGACCTACATCACAATGAGCTCGTTTTAGCCCGCAAAGCGCTCTTATCCTAAAGCAGGTAGAGCCGATTCGCCGATGCTGATAAGGGGAGCCGTCTCTGTTCGTATTGGCCCCCCTCTTGTCACCGCCATGGTTTTGAATCAATTAATACACGGTTTTTCCGCAGGACTCCGAGAGCATGCACTCGTGCCATCAACCGCATGCAAAGGAAATTAGATGCTGCGAAGGACTGCTTGACACGGCCTCGAAGTGCAAAATACAAAGTTGCTCCAAACACCCTCGAAGAAACAAAAGCACCCAATAGGTTCTGCCACCCCCTTGGATCACTACCCTTAGACACTGCATATCGCTGGCATCTGAGAGGGGTATCAGGACCACAGCACTATCAGGGAACCTACCATGATGTATGCACACACCTATACACAACCAAAGATTGCAAAACATACATTATATACATATATACATATATATATATATACACTGGGACCTCCAGTAGAGAGGTTAGAATAGCCCTTTGTTCTGTAGTCGATCTCAGTAGGGGAACCCTCCCCCAAAAAAGGGTAAAAGATATATATATATATATACCAGTGTTCATCCTGTGACCTGGTATTTGGCGAAAGCTTCCACATTGCATAAGCCGAGTGACTTGTGTTTCCCACTCGCGTCCGTCCCTCCCCGCCCTCGAGCCCAAGCCGGGAAGCAGGGCATTGGCCAGGTTCTACGGCGAGGGCTCCGTGGCGCTCCTCTCCGTCTCTCCGATGACGCGAGCCCGGGATGCGGGGCATGGCCATGGGCCCCCAGTGAACGGAACCCGAGCCAACCACTGAATTAGACTCAACTGGGGGGCGAATTCACCTACCCAAAATGGTACCAGTGGCTTTGGCCCACGGCCATAGTCAAAAAGTCGACTGAAGTAAACCATCTTGCTTCATCCGAAGCATCGACTAGAGATCAACCACGATTCAGTGAGGGACCTTCATGCACATACCAGGCTTCACCACAGGCATCCAGTGGACTTCCATGGAAAAAAAAGGTGGTGGCCCCTTTGTGTTGCTTGATATTGAAGGGAGGAGCTTGTGAACAAACCAAAAACATGACTGAAAGTCTGGGTAATTGCCATAGGTCACCAAACAAGATTGAAGGACCCCCACGTGAGTGGCCTTCATTCAAATGAACATAGAAACCAAAAACTGCGCCTGTATCCTGATTCCCTTCAAAAGGCGGGCTTGTTTATAATATATATATATATATGTATATATATATATATATATATATTGTTTTTTTGGGGTGGGCATGTTGACTGCTGTCCAGGAACTTGCAACCAGTGCGTACAAGTATCACACACAGTGCCGGCTCGAGCAGTGCACACAGTGCCCCTAGCCCTGGCCACGGTTTTCTGGGAACTTGGCCAATTGCGTGGCAAATCTTGAGGTTTCAAAAGGTAATGTCTGCGGATCCTTTTTGGTACGTGATCACGAGCTCCCATACCCCAAGGGACCTGGGAAGTGAGAAAATTCCTGGGGCCGAACGATGAAACGCTAAAACGAGGAAGATGAAAGGGGCATGAGGTCGGATTCGGGCAAGTGGCTGTGGGTCAAAAATAGGTACCCAAAATGGAACCCTGGTAAATGGAAACATGGACTACAACCTGCAGTCCCCCGGTTGTTAAATTTTGACCCATACCCAAGTGAACTTGACAGAAATATTGGTATCACATTACTTGCCCAGTGGCTTGCTGGCCATGAGAAACAATCACGTGCACGAAAACACGCAGCACTAGACAACTGAGGTTATAAAAATTGAAATGAATAAGTAAAGGGTCTTTACCATGTTGAGCTCGTTTTGTTCCAGATCGCTTAGCTCGCTCAACCAGCCGGGCTTCTGGCGCTCCTCATCGCCATCTGCCCGAGCTGATCCAACAACGCCCAGTCTACCTCGCGAGGCCGTGAGTTGGAGTGCGCTCAACGCTCCGTGTCAGGAAGCCCCTCCCAGTTGTACAGTGATAGTAGCAAAGAACGTTGAAACCGTGTTGGTGTTGATTCCCTTCTGAGCCGGGAACCACAAAACCACAAGGGATTTGGGGGGTGCCACTGCAAACCCCACACTGGTCATGCCTTTTTCATGTGTTACAAGGCCGACCCCATTTGGCTGTGGGTCAACAATGGGTACCCAACATAGAACCCAGGTAATTAAATGGAACCAAGGACTAAAACCTGCGGCCCCCTGGTGGTTGAATTTTGACCCACACCCATTTCGGTTCCAATAACTTCCGTGAACATCAGCCTACCTGACGGAAACCCCCAGTTCTGCTAACCTCCTACTCTGGTTTTGACCGCCATTGCTTGACCAGAAAGTCAGCGTCGAGGTGGGCGATCGGGGGAAGGGCGCCAAGCTGACTTTGGTCGACGTCCAACTCTTGCCCCTTTTTCGGGAAATGAAGTGGGGCCAGTCGGAGACTCGAAATAGGGGGGGCCCTGATGTTCGACCAAGGGGTAATAAAAAAAGGCAAATCCGTCTTGAGCTCATCTATTCATCTTGTGCATTTGATATCGTTTGATTCTTCACTGGAGATCCATTCAACCCCCCAACCCATAGAAGGCAAGCCTTGCCTTTCGGGATTTCCCTTTTTAACTCACTCAAGCGGGCGGTGCAATACAGGCGGCGCACAAAACTTGAAGAAAAAAACACATATGCAAGAAACAACGACTGACACAAGACAGATCCAACCAGGGCTGCGGGCTGCGGGAAATGGAATCCACTTCTGTGATGCACCAAAAAGGGGCGAACCCCAAAGACTAACCCCTCGAAACCCGGTACTAACATGGTCGTAATCCCAGAACCATGCTTCAAGAATTCTATGGCTGGGACTGCCCCTTGCTAACCTTCATCTACCCGGGTTTTGAGCACGTGGCTCAAGTGAGGCTTCCCCCCCTCCCCCACCCCAAACCAAAACAACAACTTATGTAAACCTGGTCGTTCCAAAGCTAGACTCGTAAACCTGGTTGATTTCCCCAAAACCCGAAAACCGCAGAAACCCCTGCGTTCCCCCGCCTGCGCCAGGACGGTCAGCCCTCGCGCGCCGTTGGCTGCACCCTGCGGGCACCGCGAGCTCTCGGCCTCCAAAAGGAGAGGCGGCGGCGACGCCTCGCCGGGCGCCGGGCGGCGGAGCGAGGCAAAACGAATGGAGTCCCTCGCCTTGGTTGACGTTGGAAGGGGAGCTAAAAAAAGCAGTTAAGTGGTGGGATTTCAACCACTAAACCACCAAAAGCAAAAATGTAAAATGTTTCCCAACAACAACCATGATGAGGAGTTGTCCATCCTGTGGTTTCACAGTTTTCTCTCCGTTACATCAGGTTTCACTGTTTCACTCCCGTGGGTGTCCAGGGCCGCCCCAACAGGCCCCCCACTCAAGGCGCCCCTACCTGTGCCTAACTCCATAAGGCCTATACCGTGGGATCCACCATTGGGATCCATTGGGCACATCCAGACGCCGCTACAAGGGAAACCACCATTTGGATCCGTTTGGTAGGACGGAGGATTAAATTTGCAGAAACCAGCTTTTGATACCCACGGTGACCAGTTCATTGTTGGACAATTGGAAGTCTAGCCTTTGGCCTTTGCGGGCTTGGTATCGGCTTGGAATTCCTGAAATGGGTGTAAGGCTGGCAGCATTGGCGCCGGTTAGGGACTAGTGCAGGTCTAGGGCAAGTGTGAGTGTGAGGTTGAGACATGGTGGTAGGGTGGGTTTGGAGTGGGTTTAGGGTGGTGGGTTGGCTCAGGATTGGTCCAGGGTTGGTTTTGAACTTGTTTAAAATGGGTCTGCGGTTGGATCAGAGCTGTTCTTCGGTTGGTTTAGCACGTGGTTGTGCTTTGTTCTGGTGTAGGCCTGAGGTTGGTGCATTGGTTTATGGGTCTAGGGTTCGTTTCGGGTTGGTGTACGCGCAAAACACCCTGGCAGTACGCTCTCTGGGGAATCACTCTATTCTAGCCCACTTCCTGGTTATTCTGGTTCATTTAGGATTCTTGGGTAATTTCTTTTGGGTGATTTCCCTGGGATGTAAAGGGAACGTCCTTGGAGAGCTGCCAAACGCAAAAAAAACACATCTCAGCAGTTAAGTGGGAATTTCAATCACTAAACCACAACAAGCAAACATGTAAAATGTTTCCCAACAACAACCATGTGGCCATGGGTCAAAACCCCGTACCCCCAGTGAACATCCTAGTCCAACCACTAAAATAGAGTAAATGGGTGGTGAATTCACCTACCAACCAAAATGGTACCATTGGTGTTGACCCACAGCCATGTGGGCAAAGGGGATGACTGCTTCCAAATGAAGGACTTGGGGCCTGTAGACCACCAGATCCCTCACGGTCATCTTGCTTCTAATAGGCAGCGACGGGAATGATCCCTATAAACCATCCAACTGGCGGTTTCTTTAGGGAATCCCATTCCGGCTCATCCCAACCCATGATTCCCTTAGAACCATCAAGTCATCGTTCTTGTTTTCTTTCTTTTTTGCCCAGACCCTCAGCGGCCATGTCAGTTCCGCCCGGGCCTTCAGCCTGCCGCGGCCCCGGACCACGTTGGCCGCGCCCTGCGGCGAGAGCTCCGCTCACCGCGCGGCGGCGGCGGCTGCGGACGCGGCGAGGGACGGAGCGCTTGGCCTGGGCCGTCGTCTCGTCGTGGGGGTTGGTGGGAGCCACGGATCTCGGGAAACTCCGATTCTCCCCAACCTGGACCAAATATCTAGGTCCTGCAGTAGAGAGGTTAGAATAAGTTGGTACTCGATGCTTTTTCTGTAGTCGGTTTTAGTAGGGGAACCCTCCCCCAAAAAAGGGTAAAGAGCACTACTGGGGGACCTAGACAAATATGGAAAGTAAAGCACCTGGACGGATAAAAGCGTGAAACATGCCCAGAGCTCCGCGTTTTGCCCGGACTGAGAGGGTAGCCACCGAAAAGCCACGTGCCGGCAAGCAATCAGGGGCTGAACACGGGCTTGTAGGGAAGGAGCAACGTTTACTAGATTGACTTAGCCGGATCCCTTAGCTTCCTAAAGTCTGGGGTCAGCATGACAGGTCACAAAACAATCCCCTCTTATGATTCCCCTCAATAGTCTAAGCTTAAGGGAACAAACTGGAAACCCTGCCGCACACTTTGGATGATGGGCACGGTAGCCACTGTCACAATGTCTCTCCAGCAGGCATTCCATATCACCTACTTAACTTTAGCTTGAATCGCTCAATTGGTTCGCTTCCAAGGACAAAGGGAATGGTGCCCTGTCCTCGAAACTTTTAAGGCGGCCCCTCCCCCCTCCCCCTCCCTCCCCCCTCCCTCCCCCCCTCCCCGCCATTGGCGTAGGAGCACAATTGCAGCACGGCAAAAGCTCGCGCACTGCTGGCCGCGTTCTGGGCATTGAGCTCCGGGAGCCTAACTCACAGGGCGCTTGGGTCTGTCGGTCTGTCGGTCCGTCTGTGGCTGGAACACATAGAGAAACCCATATAGGGCCCCAAAACTAGGTTGCCCCCTGGTTTCCCTTTGCACCAATCCCAAGAAAGGTATATCCTTAAGAGAGAAAACCTATATATATATATATTAATTTAAAATATATACAAACATAAACACATATATATATATATACATATTATATTTATATATGTATATATATATATATGTATGTATGTATACATATCCCTGAACCATCACCCCAGTCAAAGGAAGCCCACATGACACGGGGCTTGCTAAGGTGATGCTGAAATCACTCGGAGGTGGAGGTCGACTCCCCAAGTCATGCCTGGAACGTGCTTTGGTTTCTCAACCAGCCATGCCTTTTTGCTCGCCTGTAATGAGCCAACCTACAAAATCTTGGTTGACGTTGAAAGGGGAGCAACAGCAGTTCAGTGGGGATATCAACCACTAAACCACAATACGCACAAATGTAACATGTTTCCCAACAACAACCTGGTAACCTACAAAATGAATGACTTTGCTAGAACTCTGCACTAATTCCCAGCTGTGAGCCATGCGAACCTAGCAAAGCTGACAGGGTTCATCAGAATGGCTGAAGGGAAACCGCCCGGGCCCCCCAAAAGTACTTTGGAGAACCCTCAGATTTTCACTTCAAACGACTCCCTTGCGAAGTGCAGCTCTGTGCATGTCACGCAAACGGCCTGTCTTCGCAGCGTGCGTGCGGGCGGAAAAGGCCCCGCAGTCTACCCAACATGTTGCGTTCGTTGAACAAATGGCAAACCGTCGCAAAACGTGTGGTGTTCATTGAAACAAACAGAAACCGCAGTGTCACACTTGTTTTCCCAGCATCATCAGATAGTTGTTTCATTTGAACACAAGCTAGGGTGCACAGCATCACTGAGCATCCGCTATTCTTGTTTGCACTGAATACAGAGGCAAACGTGCAATACAGTCACAACACATCCCACCAAACCATTGTATTTTACTCGAAGCTAAGATGAAAAAACGGTGCTCAAAATAATGCGCTGCTTCATGAAGCAGAAGCGGCGATGTACACTAGTAACAATCATGGTAGGGATTGGTAAGGTTTCCCTACCATCATGTTGTTGCCAGTGGGCAAAGATGAGCAAAGGCAACTATGCAAGACATGTTTTTTGTTTGTTGTTTGTCTGTTTGTTTTTGTTTGTTTGTTCCGAATGTGGGATTGCAACACAACTACTCCAAGTACACCTGGGCCACCTTTGACCTAATCAACGAGCAACTAGTAACTTGGGACTCCAGGGGTTCATGTGGCATTGCAAGGTTGTGCTCTCAGAGTTTCAAGATCCCGATGAAGCAATCTCCATGTTCTCCTAATTGTCCATGTTGTCAATGTCGGATTGTCCATGTTCTCCTGCCCCGAAAGTGCATTCCCCATCAATTTCGGGATTGCCGAAATTAGCCGGACTGCATGACCGTGGGGTCACAGAAATCGAAACAACAAAAACGAGAATAAGCTCAAGTGATATCCCCAACAGCATGGGGTGCTATTTTTAGTGCTCGCACCACCCCGCAGCCTCGCAGAGCCTCGTGGAACCTTCCTGGAACCTATCTGGGCTGAGACCCCATCGCTTTCAGCTGTTGGGGAAAGCCAACAAAAGCGAGAAAAAAAACACCTAACCCTGTCACGCGGGCCGAAACCAACAGAAAAAGAAGGCGACCCGCCGTCGACCCGAGAAGCGACAGGACGTCCCAGCCTCACGGCGCTCTCGCGCGCTAAGGCCTCCAGGAGCTTGGCGGATGCCATGGCTACAGCGCGAGCATCGGAGAGGTTTGCTCACGAGGGACCGTGGCTTGGAGGAAAACAATTCTCGCCAGACTTGTTGTGGTCGGACGGCGACAAAGAGTTCAGTTCCGGGTGGCACCCGGGAAAATTGCCATTACTCTATGGCATGGCCTGTTTTGGCGAAAATCTAAAGCGACATGTTCCATTCCCTGGCCTTGGGGTTGGTAGGGTGAGGGTTTCTCGTGCTAAAGACCTTATTCAGCCCCTTCAAAAGCGGGGCTGTCCGTCTCTTAGGTCAATCAACGGTGTTCTATCGTGTTGAACAGTCTGTTCAAGCGTCCATGGTGGGTGCACAGTCCGCGGTGCAAAATCATGCATGCCAAGTAGTGTATGTTGCACATGGGTGTAACGTTCGGCGCCCTCTAGGTGGTGTGTCGTCGTACGGCTCCTTTCCCTTTTGAGGCAGAGCCGCGTACCATTCCAAGTTTCAATCCTAGGCTTATCTGTAGGCTTGGGCCACCTGCTTGTTTAAACGTGCTGAAGATTTCACACCAGTTTGGTTTGCACAACCTCCTTTTGGTTGCCCTTGAAAGGGGACCAAGATCTGGTTGTTTGAGCCTTTTTTGGCCCGACCTGCCCCTCTGTGCCGAACGGGCACTGCATCACAGGTGTCATGCATGAGGATCAAGTTGGATGCTGGCTGGCAATGCGATCCTAGCATTCCTGGGCGTGTTTGTTCGCAACAAGAGAAACCAACAGTCTGCAAAAAATGAAAAAGTTGAACGACGTTGAGGTCAAACCACACAGAAAAAGAGTATCCCCTATCAGGTGTCATCTCAGTGCGAGGGTGAGAAACTGGTCGTCCTCTTGACCTCTCACGTGGTTCGGCGCCCCAACCCCATCTTACGCTCCGAATGCAACATGCCGATTTAAGATTGTGGTCCGCGTCTGAGTGTGCCTCAGGCTTCCCCGTGGTTTCAAACTATCCTCAAACACCACACGCAACACACAGACACACCTTTTAGAGAACCTTACAATTCATGGGTACGAATATTGATGGTGGCCCTGGTGAACGTCGCTTCTATGGAAATCTATATATGTCCACCAACAATTTTCAACCATTGAACACCACGGCCAAGTATGTCAGTCTCTGAACGCATTCTAAAAGAGTACCCTCAAGAAAAAGACACGCCCGTTTAGTGTCGATTGAAAGGTCCCATTAGGGCAGCCATCATGCACAGTTTCATGTCAGTCTCCTCGTTGCCAACCGATGTCATTTCCGATTTCTATTTTTCTTAACACCTCATCTCCAAAAAGGAAACAGGCTGGTAAAAAAACTTGGTACTTTTAGTGCTTTTTGCTTTTCGGCTATGATATGTCGAGTTGCAGTTGTGAGTGGGGGATGGGGGTGGGATGGGGGTGGGTGAGGGGGTGGGTGGGGGGGTGGGTGGGGGGGTGGGTGCGGGGGTGGGGGGGAGGATGTTACCGTCGTTACGAAAGGCTTGCGCGCACACGAACACACATGCCAGTGCACACAGGTTGATGCATGGCCAATGTTGGTTGCAGATGCTGGCAAAAAGCGTCTGGAGAGCCACCAATGTCCAACCCAGCAAACATGAGCTTGCTAGAAGAGTCTCTGTGACGAGAGCACGCAAACGACCCATTTGCAGCATAGTGGGGGCTCAATGTATGGACAGAGGGTGGCAATCATTGCAAGTCTATACAACAACCCAGCTTCACTCTAATGTGTTTCGCCATACGCACAGCTTGTTTGGAGCATCGGCTTCCGATTGGGAAGGATTTCAGCCGTGACCGTCGGCTGCAGCTTGTTGGTTCAGATTTTAGAGCAATTGAACTGCAACTACGCAAAAAACATTGGGTTTTTGACCATTTATGCATGAAAACAATGCTGTCCTAATTCTCCCGTTCACTGCCAAGCATGAGCCAGAGATGACAAATTGCAGAAAAGCCAGGGGAAAACACGTGTGACCCAGCTTTCGCCCCCAGGTTTTTTAACAGCCTGTGACCTCCAAAAAGGAGTTGATGAGCGTCCCCTGCCCCCCCTCGAGGTCATTTGACCTGCCTTTCTTCTTGAGGCATCCAATTCTCGGCATGATTGACATTTCCTGGGAACTGAGCTGTCCTCAGATCCCTGCTAAAAGTGACTAACTTTTAGTGGGCTAAATGGAAAACCAACCACTGAAAAGCAAAGAAGACAAAGATATCTAGAAAGCTAAGGAACCGGATGGCTGGGAGCCACCAAGGGAACAAGGTCTTTTCAAAGAGTTTGCCCTACACGTCCAGTCCCGGGGCTATGGCTGGGACAGCTGGGGCGGGGGTTCCGATGCGACCATGGTGCCATCACCTTCCGTACTTGCTGTGGGTTGAAGATCCAAGCATACCGGAGCATACCGGAGCATAGCATGGGGCTATGGAAGCAAACCATTTTGAGGGGCCCATGAGATGCGCAGCTCACGCCTTTTTGGGGGCGGGGGGTAGCTGAAGACCTCGGCTGGCCGCCTGGCTGCGGCCCTGGCTGCGGCCCTGGCTGCGGCCCTGGGTGAGGTCCAAACCCCGCAGGTTGCTTGGTGGTTCGTTGCTTGGCTGGTTGGATGATTCATTGATTGGTTGATTGATTGATTGATTGATTGATTGATTGATTGATTGATTGCTTGGTTGCTTGGTTAGCTTCTTGGTTGATTGGTGGGTTAGTTGATTGGTTGATTGATTGATTGATTGATTGATTGATTGATTGATTGATTGCTTGGTTGCTTGGTTAGCTTCTTGGTTGATTGGTGGGTTAGTTGCTTGGTTGATTGATTGATTGATTGATTGATTGATTGCTTGGTTGCTTGGTTAGCTTCTTGGTTGATTGGTGGGTTAGTTGATTGGTTGATTGATTGATTGATTGGTTGGTTGGTTGGTTGGTTGCTTGGTTAGCTTCTTGGTTGATTGGTGGGTTAGTTGATTGGTTGATTGATTGATTGATTGATTGATTGATTGATTGGTTGGTTGGTTGGTTGGTTAGCTTCTTGGTTGATTGGTGGGTTAGTTGATTGGTTGATTGATTGATTGATTGATTGATTGATTGATTGATTGATTGATTGATTGATTGGTTGGCTTCTTGGTTGATTGGTGGGTTAGTTGATTGGTTGATTGGTTGGTCGGTTGGTTGGATGCTTGGTTGGTTGGTTGGTTGGTTGCTTGATTGGTCCATTGGTTGGTTAGTTGATTGGGGGATTGGTTGGTAATTAAGTTGATTGGTTCATTGGTTGGTCGAGTGATTGGTGGGTTGGTTGACGGATCGATTGATCGATCGCTCGATCGATCGATTGACAAATGCAAAGAGTGGCACCAAAGGAAAGAACGCTGCACACAAATTCAGGATCCAGCTGTGCATGTTGTCGCCGGAGTCTCCCAAACAGCCCCGAAACCTCTTTGGAACCTGCCGGATTGGCCAAGCCACCCTGACTTTTGCTGTTGGGAAAAGCACATTCTGCTGGTGAAGGGGGCAGTTCTGGAAACACAAGCCCTGCACGGGCAACAGAACACAGATGTCGTGGAGTAGAGAAAAGAGGAGGCTCTCAAGATAGCGGTCCCCTACAACGAGTTTCCTTTTGGTTCCCTTTAAACCCACCCGTGGGAGTGTGGCAAGGACGGGTAAGCACTGGTACCACAGGGTTCCGAGAAGGATGCGTTATCCAAACACCATGTTTTCAAGGATGCGGATCCTCAGCTGGTAAAGTCTAAGGGTTTTTGTATTACACCCTGGGAATACACCCACTTAACCCAATTTAGGCACATTTCCGGATAAACCGTGTTATTTAGAACCATTCTGGGTTAGTTCCCAAGGGTGTAATCCCAGAGTGTACTACAAAAACCCTCAGACAAAGGTGTTCCTGCTCCAAGGTCGCCTCAGGCCGGTGAGCGCCTATGGCCGTGGCTATGGCGGAACATGTTGGGGGGGTCAAACATTAAATGTTGACCCGAAGCTGAAGCTGTGATGGCATCTGGTCCATGTTGTGCCCGGACTTGCCCAACTGTGGATCGAAAACAGGCGACTCTTGCTTGATTGCTCTTGTTTGGCCAGGAACCATTCATGGCAGCGCCGAAAACCTATGTCGAAGGAAAGGTAAAGCTTACATCATGGCAACGGCAAACACAGGGAAGCCAGGTTTACCACTGGGCATCTGAGCCTTTTCCAGTGAGCAACCAAACCAATCGCCAATCACCGCCTGCACCAAAGGCACCCATCCAACCCAGTTGGTCAGCGAAATGATTGTTTGACACAGGGCCTGGAATGGATGTGTCAAACCAAGGGACCTCAAATGGTGGGTCTCACGTAGCTTCCTTTTCCACCACTAACCTGGGCAAATGCTGTCAATACACCATCCCGCGTGAAGGGAACTCTGATCACGCAGCAAATCGGATACACATAGGGGGGAATGAGCCCCAAGCCACCATCTCTAGTTTCCTCATGTAAACGTGGTCCGTTTCCGGTTCATGCCTGACCCTCTTCAGACCCAGAAAAAGGCGGCCGCGCCAACACGGAGCCCCTCGATCCCGGAAAAATGGACCTAAGCTCTGGGACCGCTGGCATTTCGCGCAGCCTGGCGTCGCGTCAGTCAGGGAAGCTCCCACACCCTTTAAAAGGCCTTCTAGGAACTTCCATGGATGGGGAGGGTAAACGGAAGAAGGTGTTCCTTGAAAGGAACAGGACAAAGAGCTGAACACCTACGCACGTGTCGTTCGCCCCCGAGCTGGCTGCAACAAGGTTCCAACTCTCACCCTTGAAACTGGGAATTGAGGGTCCCTGGTTTGCACACATGCCCTTCCGACCTTTGCTCCGCGCACCGCTGCCTCCACTGCCGGCGAGTGCCTCTGAGTGACGTCGTAGTGCTCTAAACATCCTCCAGTTTTGGCAATTAGTAAGTTTGTCTTTTTACAAGGGGTTTATTGCCGGAGGCACAGTCAGAACCGCTATTAAAGGAATCTACCAAACCCCAAAGAATCGAAAGTACTTCTGGCCGCACCTGAGCGAGACCGCCAAAAAAAAATCGGTTGAACGAGCCACTGAAGATGTGGGTG